TGTAATAAAAATCAAAAAGACTTCAGAGGCAGAAAATGTGGGTTCTGGCCTCAGCGCCACCACTGACGGCTTAAAGACCTGAGCACGTGTCTTGGCCCAGAGAGCTGAGCCGCGCCTCACCGTGTGAACGATTGCTCTCCACTCTCAGGATCAGGAAAACCATGCAATTGCAAACAACCACTCTTGTTCTTTAAATGATTGGGTCGTAACAATCTTGTAATACACCTGTTTCCTTCTTTGCGTTAACTGTCAAGGAGCTCAGAGCAAAATCTCCCCATCCCCAGCACCTACGCACAGTCTTGTGGTGTGCATTTATGTGAAATCATGTCCATGGAAGTGCTTCATACGCTCTAAATAGTGAACAGGCACACCTGGAAGGCTGAAGTATATTTATGTGTGTGGAGAGAAGGCAGCGGGGAGCATTTCAGTGAAGGCCACCAAGTGGGACGGAGACCCTCATATTGGAACAAAAGTTTCTCTCTAGGGTACAGTGCAGACCACGAAGCATTGGGCAACCAAGGATTTGGCAAAGAACACAGCTATTAAGTCAGGGAATTAAACTTCTCTTGGCTCTAATGAGACAGTTTTGCCCTAATACGACTCAGAGTTGCTGCAGTGTGTTGCAGGAACTGCGTAAGGGAGGCCGGGTACCGGAGACAGAATTTCGGCAAAGGGCCACACATCCATCCTCCTAGCCATTGGCCACTGCTGCAAACACACCGTGCTGACCTGGTTTTGGGGTGAGGCCTTTATCCCCAGCCCTTACTGCTTGCCTGCCTTCCCTCTCACTCTCTTCCCTCTCCTATTTTAGATTCCAGTTCTAAGCCAGCCTGTTAAAAGCCAGTGGTGTGGCTGTAAGCAAGACATCTCCTTTGCCTAGGACTCATGCGCCCTCTGTAACTGCGGTTCCCGCTCCTGGGCTCCGGACAGGTACTGCTCCATGGCTGGTAGGAACCAGGCCGCACAGCACGAGGTGAGCAGTGGGTGAGCCAGCGAAGCTTCATCTGTATTTACAGCCGCTCCCCATTGCTCGCATCACCGCCTGAGCTCCACCTTCCCCACCTCCCCACACCCAGCCCACCCCACTGGGCCACAGAAAAACTGTCTTCCGTGAAACCGGTCCTTGGTGCCAAAAATGTTGGGGACCGCTGCTCTGTAAAATCAAAGAGCTGGATTAGATGAGGGCCCTTAGACTGTTTTTGTGCCATGGACCTCTGTGGCACTCTAGTGTACGCTCAGAAAAAGGTTTTCTAATGCATGAAACACATAGGACCACAAAGATAACCAATTATGTGGAAATGTGGTTATCATAACATGTATTTAAAAAGTTGAATATCATAAGATATATGCTTCTATACTGATGCACTAGAAATAACATGATCTAGCAGAAGGTCTAATGACCACAATAATTTCAAAGCACTGATGCATGTAAGTGGTATTTTGAAATACCTGAAACAATTGAAATGAGATTCGAAAATATATGATTTCTATTGGTGACAAAGGCACAGGTATTGCTAATACTACATAGCTTGTTGCCTCATTTGTAATCAAGGGAAATATTAAATTTCAGTTAGTAAAAATAAAAATGTAATTTTTTTCCCATCCAAATTCACAGATGCCCTGAATCTAAGCAAGAGGTCCATGGACCACAGGCTAAAAACACATGGACTGATGCTCTCTAAAGTTGCTTCTGACTCTGACGTAGTTGGATTCCATAGAACTATCAAAATGAGACTGGGGACAGAATAGGGACATTTAGGATAATGGGGTGAAATTCTGCAATCTTAACAGTTGGCACCAGAGGGTCTCATGGGGTGGAAACCATTTTTATTTAGAGAGCTGCCTTGAGAAGTCTCGGGGGGGGACTCTGAGACCTGACGACCTGCTTGGCAGGGAAAGGCATCAAAAGCAAGAACTGAACTGCTCTGCATCGAACGAGTTCAAGAATTGGGAGGTGGGGGCAGGGAGAATCCAGAGGAAGCGGGACAGAAACCGGGGGCGGAAATGGGCAGGGGCTGCTCACGAAGGCGGGTGTTTGATACTCAACTGGAGGCTGCAGCGTTGCCGGGACAGAAACCCCTCCTTCGGCCCCAAACTTCATTAAAGTCAGCTACGCGTGCGAAGGAAATAAGGGAACGCGCTGAATCCCCTTCCAGGCCAATGTGCTGGAGCAAAGGTGAGTGCGCGTGGCCTAGCGAGATGCTCAGGAAGCCTGAGCAAAGGAGGTCATAAAAATAGAAGCACCCTGGATATGCGCGCAACTTTGGGGAACATTAAAACGGGGTTGGGCCCTTCCTGTCTAGATCGTAGGGGGCAGAGTGATCTTGGCCAACCTCCCGGGACCAGCAGCATCAGCAACACGGGGGAACTTGCTAGAAAGGCCGGTTCTCAAGCTCCACCCAGACCCGCAGGGTCAGGAAGAAGGAGGGCGCAGCCCGGCAATGTGCGCTTCAGCTTCCCAGGCAATTTGGAGACTCGTTCTTTTTGAGAGCCTCTGCTGTAGGTGTTATTATTTCCATAACTGCATTCCAGAGTCCTGGTCCCCACAGAGCCGCCTGCAGAACCCCTCCCAGCCTGGGGGTACGAACAGTGCGCCTCACCCTACACAAGGCAGAGCTTTCTGAGTTAGCAATGCTCCCAGCCACGGAGAACCCCTCCCCTCCAGGCAGCCACGCCCTAGAGGGGCTCTCCCAGGGCCAGAGGGCTGGGGTGCCCTCTGGGGCCACGTCTAGAAGATCCCTCCAGGACCACGAAGAGTGAGGTCTGGGCCCTTCCCTCCTCCTGCTGGTCCCTCTCACAACACAGCGTCAGGCCACCACGGTGGTCGTTCTTTAAAGACCCCCCATTTAAGCAGAGTTTCTCTTAAAATGGAGTGTCCAGAGCTGGAGGCCAGTGGGACTGCTGCCTCTTCTGTCGGTCCCTCAGCTGCTGTCACTGGGACCACATCGCTCCAGCTGCGGCGCAGATTCGGGCCTGTAGAAGCCCTAGGCACCGACAGTACCACGATCCCCTCTCCACTGGTACGGAATTGGAAATGGAAACAATGACAAGCCATTAAATAAACATAAAGAAGTGCAACCAAGTCTTGCATTCTCTCATTACAATTATTTTTGTATTGTGTTTGAAATATCAAATATCAATTTTAAAAATTTTTATTATAAAATATTTCTGAAACCCAAAGAGGTATAAAGGATCATTAAAAACCAACAAAAAACCTCATACACCCACCACTCAGCTTAAGGAATAAAATAATACCAATATTGTTTTAACAACTAAAAATTCTGCTTCCCTGCGGCTGGGAGCCAGTGGTTCTCAAACTTTGCTGCTAGAGTTGGGGAGGGGCGGGTGGGATGCGGCCCGTAGACGGAGTCGAAATCGGCACTCTTTCCCATTCCTTGACTCCGGAGGGCGCGGCTTTCAGCTGCGGATGCCCGGCGATCCTGCCCGAGTGGGAGCGGGCCCTCCCGCATTTCCGGGCGGAGGCTGCCATCTGCTGGTCCGCCCGGGGAAAGGGCGGCAGCCGCGCCCGGCCGGGGAGGGACGCGCGGGCAGGGCAGTAGAGTCACCGCCAGTTTGCCAATGAGCAGCTGTGACCCCGCAGAGCCGCGGTGGGATGGTGGCGGGTGGGGCTCCCAGGTACTCGTCAGGGCCCCCCTCCAGAAAAAAGGCAAGGACTGGGGGCAAGGGATTTTTAAGAGAGAGAAATGCCCCAGAAGGAGAAGCAGGTGCCACTAGAGAACCCTAGGGAGAGAGTAGAAGGTTCCAGCGCCCAGGCGTGGGAGTTCTCTGTTTGGTCCGGGGATTGCATCCGCCCCTGTCATAGTTCGTTCCCGCAGGGATTTGTTTGCTGTTCTCTCCGCCTTGAACGTTCTTTCTTGCCTCAATCTCCTTGATCTGAGTAAACGTTTGTTCAGTTTTCCTCCTTTCACCAGGAAGCCTGCTCTGACTGCCCACGTGGCCTGCACCCCACCCTGACCTCCTGCTCTGTTCTGGAACCGCCTGTTTACCTGTTTGCTGTTTTACTGTTTACTTGCTCTCATGATGCTCCGAATCCCGTGAGGGCAGGGACATCGTTCCCTCCCCAGCTGGCACCCACCCACGTGCAAGAAACACAGTAAGAAATAATGGCTTACTGAATTGATTTTTCTTACAGCATTTTGGGAAAATCAGACACCTTAATCTGAAAACAAAAAGAAAGTATTTTGAAACATATTTCCCCCCAACAATGAGGTCTCCCTGTAAGTAAATTGAAAATAATTACTTTTCCTATCTATGTATCTACAGTCACATATGGGGGGAGAGCAGGAATAAGAGAGAGAAAGAGAACAAATGATCTTATTTCCAGTTGGCATTTGTTATAAATTAACTATTGCTCCTAATCAGTAAACAAACACAGCAGACAGCTATTCTGGGCCTGGCCAGTATCCATACGATTCCTCCTTTATGTAGTAAGAGCATCCCAATTTTATTTTGGAGAAACAATCCCCTGTATTCTCAGTCTGTTTGATTCAGGGCAGCTGACCCCATCCCCAGGCCCAGGTATGGACATGTGACTTGGGCCTGGCAAATCACTGTATCCCAACAGCCTAGCACGTGATTGGTCAGGGATAGGCTCATGACCCAAACTGGCCCCCTGAGATTTAGCACTGGAACTTTCAGGGGAATCACTGAGGCGAGAAGACCTGGGAGCACCAAGCAGGTAGGACGTGAGCCTGGAGCTACTGGCACCATATTGCCACCATGAGGCCAAAGAAGGCCAAAGAGTGAAGCCAAAACAAATGGAAGTAGAGCTGAGAGAAGAGAGACAGAGACCTTGAGACAGACAGCCTTTCAATACTGGTACCCAACCCAGGACTTTTTCTGGACCTTTCTATCACATGAGCCAAGAAAGTCCTGTTTTCCAGAAGTCAGTTTGAGGGAATCTCTGTTCCTTGCAAGTGAACAAGTACTAGCTAACACAGAAAGCAGAACAAAGAACGTGACTTTTTCTTAGTTTTATTTTTTATAAAATCAACACATCATTTGCAATACTTCTAACACAGATCAGAATACTATAATAAGCTTTTACGATATTATGAAATTATGTAACGTATAAGTTAAAAGGAGACGTGATCATTGGACCCTGTGGTCTCAAATAGTGCTGGGGTTCTAAGGTTTTGGAAGCCACAGAATGGCCTATTCCAGGTTTTTCCCCCTCAATCTCATTTTCCCTGCCAGCACCCCTCACCCCAGGTCAGCCCTGCTGCCAGGAGCAGATGCCATCTCTAGACAAGAGGTCATAGGCTGCAAGACTCGAAGCTGCATCTGGATGAACCTCTGAGCGCGGCCGCCCCTCCACGCCGTCTCACTTCTCCTTAGCTCAGCGAAGAACCGGCTCTGGCCAGCAGGGCTGCGAACAGTGACCCCGGCTTCTTCCGCAGGACCTCGGGGCTGTCAAACTCCACCACCTGGAAGGTGGAGAAAGGAAAGGAGGGGCCGGACACAGCTGAGCTCAGTCTAGGAGGATTCAAAGGCCTCCTGTGACAGCGGCTGAGCGTCCACCCACCCCCTCCCCGCCCCCAGCCCAGGGACGCAGCTCTCACCTTCCCGTTGTCCATGACCAGGATGCGGTCACAGTTCAGGACGGTGGTGATGCGGTGGGCGATGACCAGCAGTGTGCACCCCTGGAAAGCTTCGTGGATTGTGCGCTGGATCAGGGCATCGGTCTCCATGTCGATGGAGGCTGTGGCTTCATCAATAAGGATGATCTGGTGGACACAAAGCAGGGGTAAAGGCAGCCTCTTCGGGCCCCAGAGACCTGGGTCTAGTCCTGTTTCCACCACTAATTCATCAAGTCGCTTCCTCTCCCGCCCTCCATTTCCTTGGCTGGGAAATGAGAGAATTGGGCTGAGTTCAAAGGCCACTCTGAACCTTAGTTATCCATTACATCAGGAAGATAATGCAGGTCTCAGCCAAGACCTAACTGTCACTCAGTGACCAGAGAACTGAGTTCTTGGAAACGAAAATGGCCCAGTGGCAACTTAGTACTTTATTAATTGCCTGAATTAAAGTAGAGCCATGTTCTCCAAAGGGAGTGGGCACACACCTTGAGAGGCACACGAGATGCTTTATCCAGTAAATGGATAAATATTCTTTTTAGCTTGACATTTTTGTATTTATTTCATTAAAAATATGCATTAGAACACTGTCACTAGCACAGAAAGTATGATTTTACAAATGTTACTGTTCAGGATGAGGCTGTTTTTAAAAAAGGAGTATCATTAGTTAACCACAGTGTAGATGGTACACAGATACGACACAGATCACGAAGGGATGGTTCAAATTTGGGAAGCAACACAGAGGAAGCGATGTCAGCACCAAGTGGCTAAGTAACTGAAATAAGGAACTGAGACGCTACGAACGTGCTCCGTACGTGTTGCAAACTCTGCTCATCTCTCTTCAGGGAAAGTCCTGCGTTCTCTGAAACCTTTTCCTCCATTTCGGCCCCACGGAGCTCTTTCCCCACAGCTCCAACAGTCTGCACCAATATTTCTGGCATTTATCATTAGTTGATTATGATGGGCGGTGCACACCCATGTGCATGCGTGTCTACGAACGTGAGTATGGAGGAGGTGTACACACGCGTGTGTAAGTGTGGGGGGGGTGTGCTGCATCACTTGTGAGAGAGCAGGTTTGAGCCTGGCTACCCCAGGTGCTCAAATACCTGAAATTATGGACAAAATATGTGGAAAACTTCTAGAAACAGTTACGTGAAATATTTTCAAATATGCAGTTTTTCCCTGGATCATCCGTCATCCGAGTCCCAATTCTAATAAGGATCCAAAGGAGTCCTGCCACCAAGCTTTAAGAAGAGTATACAGCAGGCAATTTCTAACTCGACAAGTCGCTAACTTTTTGCCTCTTTCTGGGAAAAGAGCATCGTAATTTGGTTCCAGTGCGGACCACTTCGCCCTAGTTGTAGGGCACGAGGATTCCAGACGGCCCAGGCCGAGGTTCGCCACCTCCCGTGCCCCGCCCGCAGCGGACGCGTGCGGAGCGGCGCTCAGCGCACCGCTGCGCCCTGTGATGTGCGTTCTTTCTGGAGAAGACACGCAGCGCGGTGCCCACCGTCCCGTGCTAATGCAGTTCCCCATGCCACGTGTCATCCGTGGCTTCCCGTGGCCACCCCATGGTGGCAGTCTCACCTTGGAGTTGCGGAGGAGAGCTCGGGCAATGCAGAGCAACTGCCTCTGCCCAACAGAGAAGTTCTCGCCATTTTCCACAACTTCTGCATGCAGTCCTTTGGGTAAATTCGAGATCTATGATACGGGGGAATACGAGACAACGTGTAGGCCGCTGCGGGGTGAGGCCTAACCCGCCCGTCTCCTGCCTGTCCTGCTGCGTTTTATAATCTCCGCCCTCTGTCTACACTCCAGCCTCTGCCCTTCTCACTGCTCAGCTGGGCCCGGCTCACTGTCATCTCAGGGCCCTCGCGTTTGCTCTTTTCCCAGCTGCCCCTCAGCATTTGTTCTCAGCTCAACTGTCACTTACAGAGGCCTTGCCTGGCCACCCACTGGAAGGGAGCTCTTTCCCTCACTGAGGTAGGTGTCCCTTGGTCTCATTACTGCCTTACAGCACTTACCACCAACTGAAAGCATCTCATGCGTTTACTTGTTGCCTTTGCCCCATTGAACATAAGCACTGGAAGGGCAAAGGCCCTACCTGCCTTGTCTTTGCCGTGCTCCTGAGCCTGGAACAGTGCCTGGCGCACTGGTGGCGTCTCAGTGCCATCGGCCTTTGTTTAGGAATCCCAAGTCATTTCATCTCCATGAGACTTTTTTAATCCGTGACCCAAAGCAGCGGCATCTAGAATACCACGTGAGGGGCCCCCAAAGAACCAGCCCCCTGCTGAAGATGCAGGCTTAGACCAAGCATTAGGCCTTGGAGCTACTTACCACCCTGGTCAGGAATGTTCTCTCCAAGACGTCCCAGATCTGCTCGTCTGTGTAACAGTCAAAGGGATCTAGGTTGAATCTGCCATACGAGAGAAAGAGAAGTGTTCGATGACCTCACGCAACCTTTGAACATTCATTTATATACTCAGTGGATCACCAGGAAGGGTTAGAATGGATTATGGGGTTCAGGGAAACTCATGGAACCACCATGAGTGATCATTTCTTGCACCTCCCCAGCACCCATCCCTTCTGCCGGCAGCAGCCCCCAAGTTTTATTTGGGGACCACCCCTTCCCAGCCCTCAAGCCCATGTGTTCCTGGGGGGTTCCACCTTCCACTCCAGGGATGAGCGAGTGACTCAGGTACAAGTCAATAGACTCGTGGCAATCCCTGGCCACGGTGGCTAGTCTGGGGTGGGCAGGTAACCAATCAGAGCGCGTCAGGACTTTGAAGGCGAAGGACTTTGAAGGGAAAAAGACATGCTCCTTCGCTCTGGACTGAACGAGGGAGACCACAACCGTCTTGCCGCAGGAGTGGAATGCGGGGAGCCCCCGAGGACCTCCTGTAGAGCTTAAAGCAAAAGCAAGGCTGGGGAAAACGGGGTCCCTGAATTCAGCCTCGGCCTTCCCAGTGTCATCAGTCAACGGAGGCCTCTTGTGCCTAAGTCATTTGGGTTTGGTTTTGTTTTGGCGGGAGAACACACGTAACATGATGTTTGCCATTTTAACCAATCGTAAGTGTACAGTTCAGCGGCATTAAATATGTCAGCAATGTTGTATGACCATCACCACCATCTATATCCAAAACTTCATTATTCAAACACTCCGTGCCCATTGAACAATCCCCTTCTCCCCGCAGCGCCTGTGAACCCTGCTCCGCCTTGTCTCTGTGGCTGTGCCTGTTCCCGCCGCCTCGGGTGAGTGGGGCGGTGCGGTGTCTGTCCTTCCGCGCCCGGCTCGTCTCGCCGCGCACGCGTTTGCACGGTCCATGCGTGGAGTAGCGTGTGTCAGACTTCACTCCTCCTTAGGAATGCGTAATGTTCTAGTGTGTGTGAGTGCATGTGTGTGTGTGTGTGTGTGAGTGTGTAAGTATGTGTGTGTGAGTGTGAGTGTATGTGTGTGTGAGAGTGTGTGTGTGAGTGTGAGAGTGTGAGAGTTTGTGTGAGTGTGAGTTTGTGTGTGTGTGTGTACACACACATTTTGTTTATTCATCTCTTGACACACTTGGTTGTTTCCACTTTTCGGCAACCGTGAATAATGCTGCGCCAAACACTGGTGTGCAAGCATTGTTCAAGTGTGCGCTTTCAACTCTTTGGGGTATGTAATTGAAGCAACATTGCTGAACTACGCGGTAATTCTATGTCTGACTTTTTGAGGAGCTGCCAAATTGGTTTCCATAGTGGCTATATCGTTTCCATTCCCACTGTTCCCATTTCTCCATATCCTCATCAACACTTGCTATTTTCCTTTTTAAAAAAATTATTTACTAGTAGGTGTAAAGCGGTAGCTCACTGTGGTGGGGTTGGCTTTGCTGTCTTTTGCAGGGGAAAGAATGCTAATTGGTTATCCAGGCAACTGACTTCGGGTCGGGACCCATCTGGACTTTACACCCGGCGAGGTTCGCACTTTGATTTGACAGGCAACATTGTAGACACTTCCCTGTCATGCAACCGCACGCCCTGATGAAACCTGTTGGCGCCGCTTTCTCCTTCCCTGTTCCGGCAGCCACACACGCTGCGTGTGCAGAGCTAAGTGGTATTAAAGAAGCAGCAGGTGGAACGTCTTACTGGCATGACGTTTGATACTCTCCCAAGTATTTTCACAGAGGCTCATTTGACCCCCGCTCGCCCATGAGATGGGTCTGTCCCTTTCACTGGTGAGGGAACCAGGGCCTGTCAGTTTTAAGTGGCTTGTTCAAGGCCACATCACGGGTCAGTACGAGATCCGGCTGGAATTACAGACACTCAGAGTTAGACAAAAGCTTCACGGTAGAGGACCCAGCTCTCCTATATTCCAGTCCATATTTCTTCCTGCCCCATGGGGGGAATATCCCCGGTTATGGGTTTAGACTACCTGGGGTTGTATCTCATCCTTTCCGTGTGTGTCCTCAAACAAGTCCCCTTTCTCTAAGTTCAGTTTCTTCATCTGTAAAATGAGGATAACAACACAGCCTCATAGGGTTGTTGTGACTATTAAATTAGATAGTATATTAAAGTATACAGCTGGCACATATAAATGCTCGATAATAGTTCATATTTTTACTGCTCTTTCTACCAAGGCACAATAGATTTGGCCAAGTTATACCTAACGCAGAATTCTATCATGAAACGTTTCATCATTAAACGTTTTATCACTCCCCTAACACAACGCAAGTCATGCTGAAACCCACGTCTGTGCGCACATTGCTCAGTCTCCCCAGAACGACTTTCTGCCCTTTTTCTGCCAGGCGAGCTCCCACTTGTCTTTCAAGACTGCTCAGATGCCCCCTCCTCTGGGAAGCCGCTCTGGGTTCTCCCAGGCAGAGTCACTCACCCACTCTTGGCTCCCTCAGCACGTCGCTCGTATTTCTGATCCGGCAACTACCGCTTCCATTGCCAGGCGCTGGGTCTCGCGCCTGCACTAAACACCCTCCCCACTACCCCGCGAGCTCCTCGTGCGGGCGGGGAGCGGGGAAGCGTTCGTTCATCCCAGTGCTCTGCCCTAACCCGGCAGAGCTCAGAAAAGGCACAGTACATGGATGGAAGGATAAAGGAATGAATGATTATTGAATGAATGAAGTTCCGGGGGTCGGTTTATCCTCTTGCCTCTGAGAATGCCCCTTCGCTATCAGCGAGACCTGGGGGTCCGGCCTGTCTTTAGTGCACCCGTCTTGCTCAGGCCCCGCGCCTTTGTCTCCCTTCGCGCCTAGAGCCCATCGTCAGCAGCGACACTAATGTGGGGGACATTTGGTCCTTGAAGCGACTTCTGAGGAAATAGAAAGTGTGGGGAAGAGGCTGAAAGGTCCAGTTCTGGATCCTTCTCACTTCCTCACTTCCCCGTTCAGAACGTGAACCCAATGGGGAAGCACTTTCCAGCAACGTTCCCAAGGCCTTTGCCCAGCAGGTGAAGACAGGAGAAGCCACACCTGGATGAGGAAGAACGTGGCACTCACAGCACTAATGCTTACTGGTGCCCTGAAACCTAACCAATCCCATCTGGGTTTGTTTTTGTTTTTAGAGATGGGGTCTCGCTGTGCTGCCCAGGCTGGAGTGCAGTGGCTATTCTCAGGCACGATCACAGTGCACCGCAGCCTCGAACTCCTACTGCTAGGCTCAGGCAATCCTCTCGCCTCCACCTCCTGAGTAACAGGGAATATAGACATGTGCCGCCGTGCCTGGCTGCTTTTTAAAAAATAAAAACATGCCTTGCTTTTGCTTAGGTCATCGTGGCTTACAAAATGCTCTTACGTATATCGGCCTCACTCACTCCTCAACGCTCTGGCGAGGCCGGCCGAGCAGGCGTGAGCGGCCCAGCACACGGAGAAGAGATCAGGACCCAGGAACTGCGGCACTGGCCGCTGGCTAACTAGAGGCAGCCCAGCACTGGGATCCTGGTCCTGGGACCCCGGCAGCAGACTGTCCTTCCACACCAGGCCGGCCTCTGGCCTAGCACTCACCGGATGGTTCCTGAGAGCAGGACCGGATCTTGAGGGATAACCGAGAGCTTGGACCGCAGGTCCTCCAGGCCAATGCTGCAGATGTCCACGCCATCGATGAGAATCCGTCCCGCTGCGGGCTCCACCAGGCGGAAGAGAGCCGTGGCCAAGGAGGACTTCCCTGTTGGGCCAGAAACAGGGCCTCAGTTGCCTGTGTCTGCGCTCGGGACAGCACAGGTCACACCCGGTGTTTGCGCCTGACCCACTGCTCTCTGGGGCCCGTTCTTTGTCATCGTGAGTGCTGAGGGGTCTCTGCTTCAAGTGGTGCCCAAAGCCAAGAGCAGCTTTCCTACAGCCCAGATCAGAGGTCACAAACACAGCCTCTGGATCAAAGCCAGCCCACGTATATGTTTTGTTTCACACACATAGTGCACAATTATTTTTAAACTCCTTGCCAGCATTTTTTTAAAAAACCTAAAGATCCTAAATATAAAAATTCAAATTGCATGTTTCTCTTGAAACTCAGTAGAACTGGCAACACTGGGCCCACATCCCACATCCAGCAACAAGGAGCTGGAGCTGAGTGTGGCAGCTTCGTTGAGACAGAATAGTATTCTTTAGGCCCCCCTGGCCCTCCCCACCCCGCTTACATCACAGCCCAGACCCACTGCACTCATCTGTTACTTGCCAGACCCCAAAACATTTGAATTTTCAACCCTGTTCTTGAAGATAAGATCTATGAACCTCTAGGTTCCCAGGCACATAGTAAGTGCTCAATAAATACCTAGTGAATGAATACAGTAAGTTGGACCAGTATCTACTGAGAGCTCCTCTATGCCAGATCCCAGCCCTCTCAGGCCAACTGGCAAGTGGAAAATAGCAAGAGAAGAACACCCAAAAGAATACTCCAGAAACTCTTTACCTTGTGGTAGTGCAAGTGCTGCAGGGGAGCTGAGGAGGAGACCTAAGAAGGCTTGAAACATCCAGGGGGCTTCCTGGAGGAGGCAGCTCTGAAGCACCCAAGGGTGGGAGGGGCAAGAACAAAGTCTCAACAGTATCTTTGAACAATGCAGAGAGGCGAAGCGAGGGACACTTGGACCAGATCTCCCAGAAGTGACAGGAGAGGAAGAGAGGGAAAGAAGTCCAGGAGGAGAGAGGGAAGGGGGCAGGAGGGAGGAGAAGTGGGAGGCTGATAGGAGAGGTATAGGAAGGGAGGGGAGGAAGGAAAAGGAGGACCCACGTGACTCCTGTGCCTGCACTCCACCCTGGCACAGCGCACCTCTGTGGACCTTGTCCACCCTTCACGCCTCAGCTCCGACACTGGCCTCCATAGCCCAAGCACCACCAACCTCCTTACTCTGCAAACCGCCCTGTTTGTTCCATCATGGCAGCCACCACAACCTGCAATTGTCATATTTGTTTCTTTATTTGCTGGTTTGTTTAACATCTCTCTCTTCCACTGGCATCCTACGATAGACGCTCACCAGGGTCTATTTAGCAAGGCATGAGGGCCCAATAAATATTTGAGAGTGAATGAGCAAACACATGCCCCAAAATAGTTCTGGCCCTGCACGGCCTGTGGCGGGCCACACCCCTTGGCTCTGTGCACCCGCTGGCAGGCTACAGCCCCACCCCGTACACCCACACTGGGCCATGCCCCTGCAGACCTGCATGCCATGTAGCAGGCCACATTCCTTGGCTTTGTGCACCAGCCAGCAGGCCCCGTGGCCTCAAGCAGCAGAACAAGCCCCCGGCCTTGCATGTCGGTTGGCAGGCCACGCCCCCATGGCACAGTGTGATGCCACTTCTGTAGTCCAGCTCTCCACCCCAGACCCGCTAGCCACAAGCTGCCCCCAGCCACATACCACCATTACGCCTAGACCTGGATGGAAGGCCCCCAGCCCTGATACCTGTGGCCACCACCTAGATAGCCTGGCCAAACATCCACTGCCACCTCCATGGGGAGACCTGGGCGGAGCAATGTCCTGCAATGGCCACCTCAGTGGAGAGGGACTCACCAACCCTCTGCCTGAGCTTCCAGCAGCAGCCTAGGACAAAACCCACCGCTCCACACAAAGATCCCCCAGCACTGGCCTAGGTTCCACAACATGCCCAGGCACAGGCCAAGGACCCATGATGCACCCCGGCACACGCCAGGTCCCCCAACCAGCCCCACCACTGACTGCAGTCCTGTGACATGCCCAGGCACCTGACAAGAACCCACAATTTTCCCTGCCACTGGCTGCAGTCCCATGACACATCCAAGTACCTACCAAGGTTCTACAACCTTCCCATGCATTGGACAAGGTCACACCACCCATCTCCATGGAGAGGGACTTGTACAGTCCCCTGCCTGAGCTTCCCACAGTGGCCTGGGGACCAATTCATCAATCTGAACAAATATCCCCCAGCATCGGCTTGGACTGTGACAACCACAGGGGATCGGGACTACACAGGAGGACAGCTGTGTCACAGGCTCTCAGTGGATCCATCCCTTTCCTGCTGGATCAGTCCCTTAGAATAGGACACAAAAGCATTATCTAGGAACCTCTCCTCTTTCTCTCTAAGCAGGAGAGTTCCTGGGAAAGGATAACAGGTGTACTGCAAACCTATCAACCTGAGCTGAGAGAAGAGGTTTCAGGTGAGAAAAAACCCGTAAAAAAAATTCTGGCAACAAGAAAAAACAAGGTAGTCAATACCGCCAAAGGATCTCAATAGATCCACAGCAAGGGACCCCAACCAAAGTAAATTGTAAAAATGTCAGAAATGGAATTCAGAGTATAGATGGCAAATGAAATGAATGGGATTGAAGAGCAAGTTGAAAAGCAACACAAAGAGGCCAAAAAGATGTTTCAGGACATAAATGAAAAAAAGTGAACAACCCACTAAAGAGATAGACAACATAAGAAAGGATATAACAAAACTTAAAGATATGAAAGAGACATTTAGGAAATTACAAAATACAGCAGAAAGCTTCAACAATAAGCTAGACTTCGCAGAAAAAAGAATCTCAGAGCTTGAAGACAAGTCTTTTGAACTAACACAGTCAGTCAAAGAATAAAGAAAAATGAAAAATCACCCAGATAAATATGGAGCTATGTGATATGAGTCAATAAACAAATTATAGGTATTCCAGAGGGAGAAGAAGAAAAATCAAAAAGCATGGAAAATCTATTTGAGCAAATTATTGAGGAGAACTTTCCCGGTATTACTAGAGATTCAGATATCCAGATACAAAATGGTCATCAACACCAAGAAGATTCATAGCAAACAGAACATCTCCAAGACATATATTCATCAATCTGGCCAAAGTCAAAATGAAGGAGAAAATTCAGCAAGCTGCAAGATGAAAGCAACAACTAACCTACAAAGGAAAATCCATAAGGCTAACAGCAGAGACCTTACAAGCCAAAAGGAATTGGGACCCCATTTTTAATCTTCTTAAACATAACAACTGTCAGCCAAGAATTTTGTATCCTGTAAAACTAAGTTGCATAAATGATGGAGAAATAAAGACTTTTCCAGATGAGCAAACACTAAGGAAATCTGTCACCATTAGACCTACCCTATAGGAAATGCTAAAAAGTGCATTATATATGCAACAGCACAATAGATATCAGCCAGCACAAAAAACACCCAAAAGTTATAGCTCACAGCTCTTATAAAACAATAGCATAAGAAGAAAAATAAGATAATAAGGTATCATCCAATATGATGAACAGAACAGCATCCCATTGAACATAATACTGACACTCAATGTGAACAGTCTGAATACCCTACTTAAAAGACATAGCCTGGCTGAATGGATGAAAAAACACAACCCAAATATTTGATGTTTCCAAGAAACACATCTAAACCACGAGAACTCCCACAGACTCAAAGTTAAGGGATGGAAAAAAATATTTCATGCAAATGGAAACCAAAAGCAAGCAGGTGTAGCCATTCTCATATCATATAAAATAGACTTTAAATCAACAGTGGTAAAAAAAAAAAGACAAAGATGGACATTATACAATGGAAAGGGGAGCAACTCAACAAGAACACATAACAATCCTAAATATATATGTGCTTAACACAGGAGCTCCCAGTTTCATAAAGCAACTTCTCCTATGTCTAAGCAAAAAAAAAAGTCACATCTTAATTTCTGGGGACTTCAAAACTCCACTGACAAAACTGGACAGATCACTGAAGCAGAAAATAAATAAAGAAATACTGGACTTAAACAGGACTCTAGAATAAATGGACCTAGAAGACATTTACAGAACATTCTACCTCATGACTACTGAATATACATTTTTCTCACCAGCACTTGGGAGAGTTTCCAAGATTGATCATACCTTAGGCCACAAATCAAGCCTTAACAAATTCAAAAAAACCAAGATCATACCATGTATCTTCTCAGACAACAGTGGAATAAAACTAGAAATCAATTCCAAGAGAAACACTCAAATCTACACAAAGTCATGCAAATTAAACAACCTGTGGCTGAGTGATCCTTGGGTCAGTGATGAAATTAAGGTGGAAATCAAAAGATTTCTTGGAATGAATTACAAATGACACAAGCTATCAAAAATCTGTGGGATAAGCTGGGCACAGTGGCTCACACCTGTAATCCTAGCACTCTGGGAGGCCAAGATGGGAGGACTGCATAAACTCCAGCAATCTGGGGTTTGAGACCAGCCTGAGCAAGAGCAAGACCCCGTCTCTACTAAAAATGGAAAAATTAGCCAGGTGTCATGGCAATGCCTGAAGTCCCAGCTACTCAGGAGGCAGGAGGATTGCTTAAGCCCAGAAGTTTGAGGTTGCAGTAAGCTATGATGAGGCCACTGCACTCTACCCAGGGCAACAGTGCAAGACTCTGTCTCAAAAAATATAAAATCTGGCCGGGCACGGTGGCTCACACCTGTAATCCTAGCACTCTGGGAGGCCGAGGCGGGTGGATCGCTCAACGTCAGGAGTTCAAGACCAGCCTGAGCAAGAGCGAGACCCCATCTCTACTAAAATCAGAAAGAAATTAGCTGGACAACTAAAAATATATATATAGAAAAAATTAGCAGGCATGGTGGCACATGCCTGTAGTCCCAGCTACTCGGGAGGCTGAGGCAGGAGGATCACTCGAGCCCAGGAGTTTGAGGTTGCTGTGAGCTAGGCTGACGCCACGGCACTCTAGCCAGGGCAACAGAGCCAGACTCTGTCTCAAAAAAAAAAATATATATATATATATATAAAATCTATGGGATACAGGAAAAGCAGTTATAAAGGGAAAGTTCATAGACTTAAATGCCTACATGGAAAAGATAGAATATCACAAATTAACCTATTGTCACATCTCAGTAACTAGAAAAGAAGAACAGACCAAACCTAAAGCTAGTAGAAGAAAACAAATAACAAGGCTCACAGCAGAACTAAGTAAAGTGGAAACCAAAAACGAAAAAAAAACCAATAGAAAGGATCAATGAAATGAAAAGCTGGTTCTTTAAAAAGATAAACAAAATCAATAGATCACTAGCCAGATTAACCAGAAATAGAAAACAAAGGATTCGAATAACCTCAATCAGAAATGAAAAAGGAGACATTACAACTGATACTCCAGAATACAAAATATTATCTGTGAATACTATGAAAACCTCATGCAAACAAACTAGAAAACCTAGAGAAAACAGATCAATTCCTGGAAACACACAATGTCCCAAGCCTGAATCAGGAAGAAATAGAAATCCAAAACAGACCAATAATGAACACAGGGATTGATGCAGGAATAGAAAAACCTCCCAACAACAAAAACAAAAAAAACTCTAGAACATATGGATTCACAGCCAAATTCTATAAGATCTACAAAGAAGAACTGGTACCAATCCTACAGAAACTATTCTATAAGATCGAGACAGAGGGAATTACATCTAACTCATTCTATGAAGCCATTATCACCTTGATACCAAACCCAGGAAAGGAAACAACAAACATAGAAAACTACAGGCCAATATTACTTATGAAAATAGATGCAAAAATCCCCAACAAAATACTAGCAAATTAAATTCAACAGCACATCAAAAAGATAATCCACCATGATCAAGTGGGTTTAACCCCAAGGATGCAAGGATGGTTCAACATACACAAATCCATAAACATGATGATTCACCACATAAACAGAAACAAAAACAAAGACCATATGATCATCTCAATAGATGCAGAAAAATCATTTGATAAAATCCAGCACCCTTTCATGATAAAAATCTTCAACAAAGTTGGCATAGAAGGAACACATTTCAAAATTATAAAAGCCATAAATGAAAAACTCACAGCCAACATCATATTGAATAGGGAAAATTTGATAGCATTCCCCCTAAGAACTGGAACAAGACAAGGGTGCCCACTGTACCAGTTCTATTCAACATAGTATTGGAAGTCCTAGCCAGAACAACCAGGCAAGAGAAAGAAATAATGGGCATCCAAATCAGGAAAGAGGAGGTCAAACTATCCCTCTTTGTTGATGATATGATCTTTTATCTAGAAATTCCTAAACAATCCTGGAATTGATAAATAAATTCAGCAAAGTCTCAGCTTGCAAAATCAATGTACATAAATCAGTAGCATTTCTATATACCATTATAATAACAGTTAAGCCGAGAGTCATATCAAGGACTCAATACCATTCATGATAGTTACAAAGAAAATAAAATACCTAGGAATATACTTAACCAAGGAGGTGAAAGATCTCTACAAGGAGAACTACAAAACACTGATGAAAGAAATTGCAGATGACACAAACAAATGGAAAAACATCCCATGCTCACGGATTGGTAGAATCAACATCATTAATATGTCCATACTGCCCAAAGTGATTTACAGATTCAACAAAATCCCTTTCAAAATACCAACATCATATTTCACGAATCTAGAAAAAATAATCCTAAGCTTCTTTTGGAACCCCAAAACAGCCCAAATAGCCAATGCAATCTTAAGCAAAAAGAACAAAACTGGAGGCATCGTATTGCCTGATTTCAAATTATACTACAAGGATATAATAATCTAAACAGCAGGGTACTGGTATAAAAGTAGGGACATAGACCAATGGAACAGAGTAGAGAACCCAGAAATAAAACCATCTACCTACAACCAACTGATCTTTGACAAAGCAGATAACAACATACACTTGAGGAAGGAAACTCTATTTGATAAATTGTGCTGGGAAAATTAGACAGCCACATGTAGAAGAACCAAATAGGATCCCTGTCTCTCAGCATATACAAAAATTAATTCAAGATGCATAAAAGACTTAAATGTAAGGCATGAACCCATAAAACTTCTAGAAGAAAACATAGGAAAAAGTCTTCTAGACATTGGCATAGGCAAAGAATTTATGACTCAGACCCCAAAGGCAAATACAGCAACAAACAAAATAAATAAATAAATTGGACTTAATTAAATTAAAAAGCTTCTGCACAGCAAAGGAAATAATCAACAGAGCGAATAGACAACCTAAGGAATGGGAGAAAATATTTGCAAACTATGCATCTGACAAAGGACTAATATCCAGACTCTACAAAGAACTCATACAAATCAGCCCAAAAAAAAAAAAAACAACCCCATCAAAAAGTTGGCAAAAAACATGAACAGAAGTTTTTTTGAAAGAAGATAGACAAATGGCCAAAAAATATATGAAAAAAATGCTCAACATCACTAATCATCAAGGAAATGCAAATTAAAACCACAATGAGATACCACCTTACCCTTATCAGAATGGCCATTGTTAAAAAGTCAAAACACAATAGGTGCTGGCATGGATGCCAAGAGAAAGGAATGCTTATACACTGTTGGAGGGACTGCAAATTAGTGCAACCTCTAGGGAAAACAGTATGGGGATTCCTCAAAGAAATCAATGTACACCTACCATTCAATCCAGCAATCCCACTGCTGGGTATCTACCCTCAGGAAAAGAAGTCATTTTATCAAAAAGATACCTACATGCAAATGTTTATCACAGCACAATTCACAATTACAAAGATGTGGAATCAACTTAAGTGTCCATCAATTCATGTGTGCATAAAGAAAATGTGGTGTGTATATATATATATATCATGGAGTACTACTGTGCCATAAAAAGGAACGAAATAATGTCATCTTCAGCAACTTGGATGGAACTGGAGACCATTATCCTAACTGAAGTATCTCAGGAATGGAAAACCAAACACCACATGTTCTCACTAATAGCGAGAGCTAAATGACAGGTACACACAGGCACAAAGTGATATAAAGGACACGAGAAACCAGGAAAAGGGGAGTCGGGAGAGGGGTGTGGGACAAAAACTTACCCACTGCGTACGATGCACACTATTCTGTTGGTGGGCACACCAAGAGCCCTGACTTAAGCATCATGAAAGGTATCCATGTGACAAAAACACTTATACCCCCTTAATTAATGTTTTGAAATATAAACAAAACAAAACAACAATAGGTCTGGCATCCAAAGGCCAAAGGAAAGGGCTCAGCTCACCAGAGCCCGTCCTTCCCACGATGCCCACCACTTCGTGGCCGTGAATGGTCAGGTTGATGTCATGCAGGACGACAGGCGTGTTGCCTCTGTATTTCATCTGATAATCCTGGAATGTGATTTCCCCATGCTGTGGCCAATCGTGGGGACAACTCACGCCTTCTGTGTGTAAAGGAGCCTCAGAGACACACATCTTGTTTTTAAAGAAAGAAGAAGACATCAATAGTTATCATCAATCTGGTTATCATCAATCTCTGCCCATCACCTGTGGACCTGCCGGCCTCCAGCTGTTGGGTGTGTGACCCACCCAACCTGCCCTGCACCATGGTCAAGCCACCAGCTGTGTGAGCAGAAGAAGATGTCCCAAGAGGAACATCCATCCACACATCCCACACTCACCTGAAACACACGTGCTTTTTCCCCAGAAGAGTGAGAAACCCACATAGCCAGACCCCTTGTTATTATTAACCTACAGTACTTTTTCTAATTTACTGTGTGAGGCTCTAAAGAAATAGAACCCAGAACAATGATAAAAAAGCCAGCAGAGATAACTAATCCCTGCAGGGTGGGTTTTGTAGCTCAGAGCCCTTGTGCGACTTTCTCTTTCTCTATCCTCATCCTGTGAGGTGAGCCTTTTTAGGTGCATTTCCCAGGCAAGGAAAGAAAGGCCCCAACGGTTAAACGACTTGCTTAAGATCGTACAGTTTACGTGTGGACGAACCGGGACGCAAACCCAGACCTGCCAAACTCCAAGTGCGGGACTCTGCAGCATGCACAGGTGGGCAGGCTAAGAGGAAAGGACACTGGAGAAGGAGCAGGGCCACCAGCCGCAAGTCACAGCTCTCCAGGGCCGGGCAGCGCTATAGCAGCATCTCTTAGCATTAAATCAGAGCCCTGCAATTCATGGATTCCATTCGTGTGCTGGGGCGGGAGACTTGGCTGTGGAGGGCTCCGCGAGCTCCAGGAGTGTGACCTTCAGCAAGACGTTCAGCCTGGCCAAGCCTCAGTTTGCTTGTCTGCAAAATGTAATCATTCAACCCTCCTAATAAAATTGTTTTATGATTCTGTGAGACAATCTATACAAAGGGCTTAGCACAGTGCCTGGCCCATAAAAGTTCGATCATAAGAATAAATCACATTCCATAATGTTATTTCACTGGGCCAGGCACTGTGCTAAGTGCATTACACGTTATAGCATTTCATCTTTGCAATAATCCGATAAACAAATACCGTTATCTTTCCCATTTCAGAATGGGAGACAGAGAGTTTGAATGAACTGCCCAGGGTTATGCAGATGTTTCAAATGTCAGAGCTTGGAATTGAACCCAGGCAATCTGGTCACAGAATCTGCGCTCTTAACTATTAACGCTATGACACAAATAGAAGCGATAATAATGCCAATAGTTATTGTCATCATTATTGTATTGGGGCTGACTGGTCGCTTCTATAAAGAACAGACTATGCCCTCCCACGCAGGAACACACGGAGAGGTGGGCACATGAGCTGACAGGCGCGGAGAGCTTCAGAGAGCCGGTCCACACAGATCTGGGAAGAGACGGGCGGGAGCCCCGCTGCTTCCTGGGCAAGCCTCGGGGTCGCAGAGGTCAGAAGCGCGCCCGCCCGGACCCGCGTCCCACCTTCGCGCACCGCAGCATCCTCTCCACGGCCATGAAGTGCGCCCCCGTCTCCGAGCCCATCCGCGCCGCCGCCTGGAAGTTGGAGGCCAGCTGGGAGGAAGGAGAAGCGTCAGGAGGGCAAGAGGCCGCCCGGGCCGGCTCTCGGCACCCTTGAGCACCACTGGCAGCCACTGCCCTGAGCGCCCCTGCAAACCACACAGTGTCCCCAGCGAAAATGGCGCAGAGCCCCCCGCTGCCCCGAGTTGAGCTGCAGCTGTGGCGGGCGGTGTGGGGCAAGAATCCCTCTGGACACCGCTCCACCCCAATGCCCTGTCCGTGCCCAAAGCCTTTCCCGGCCGCAGGAGCCCGCGCACAAGTGCATGCCGGAAACCGCAGCGAGCAAAGGCCATGGAGAGCGAGCTGCAACTACCGGGAACAAGAGCTGGCGGGTGAATGCTCCCATCGCTCAGCCTCTGGGGGCACAAACCTGGGAATATCCCAAATGCTCCTTGGGAGATCCCGCTAAAGTTAAGCCCTGGCGACCTAGAATGACACGCTCCAGGGACCTCGATGACACACTCCCACGATGGATTTCCTCCTTCCCTGTCCCATTCTCCTGCTTCCTCAATCCTGTTTTCTGGGAGCATCTCCCAAATAAGCTGCCTGTGTCCAAGTCCTTGTTTCAGGCCCTGCCTTCAGGGAACCCGAGAGTCTAGGCACTCGTGGGCACTGGGGGCACCAGAACTGGGGAAAGGGAGGCCCAGAGAGAGGGCGTGGCATACACACGGTCAGCTGAAAGCTGGAGGCAGAGCCAGGGTTGAGACCCCAGCTCCATCATCCTGGGCAGAGGGGCTGGCTAACAAGTTCATCATACATTCACTCAGCAAACTCTGGTGGAAGGCTTTGTGCCCAGTGCTGGGCCAGGCTGTGTCCCAAAGTGCAGCAGACACAGGCCCTGCCCTTGCAGACCTCCCCACCTGGATGGGGCAGCAGACGAGCCAACAGAAAATGGCAGTGCAGACGGACGCATTCCACCAGGGAGTCAACCCACGGGGGCTCAGGTGAGGGCCACAGGGAAGGGCTTCCGCAGGAGTCGGCACTGGAGTCAAGGGGAGGGAAGATTCAGCAACCTAAAGACGAGCAGAGAAGCGTTTGGCTATGGCCAAAACAAAGAGTGTGGGAAGGGGAGGAGAAGCCCTCTTAAGTCCGAGAAGGTGGACACCATGCTGGAACGATGCTGGGTTGGGAAAGGAGGTGGGTGGGCTGGAAGACTGCCTTTCCTCCTGTCCCCCGTGGCTCAGACACCGAGGCTTGCCTTGCCAGCTGGCCTACCATCACGCTCAGGTATCCGTGCTTCGGGGAAGCTTGGGTGATCCAAACCAATCATGGTAACTCTACTCCTCTTGCCAGTGATTAGTTTAGGGTTCCGGCCAATGAAGCATGAGGAAGGGTCAGAGGGGAGTATTCTGGGGAACTTTTCTTGGCTTTTAAGGACACATGGGCCAGGCGCGGTGGCTCACGCCCGTAATCCTAGCACTCTGGGAGGCCGAAGTGGGAGGATTGCTCAAGGTCAGGAGTTCAAGACCAGCCTGAGCAAGAGTGAGACCCCGTCTCTACTATAAATAGAAAGAAATTACCTGGACAACTAAAAATACATAGAAAAAATTAGCCGGGCATGGTGGTGCATGCCTGTAGACCCAGCTACTCGGGAGGCTGAGGCAGAAGGATTGCTTGAGCCCAGGAGTTTAAGGTTGCTGTGAGCTAGGCTAACGCCACAGCACTCTAGCCCAGGCAACAGAGCAAGACTCTGTCACAAAAAAAAAAAAAAAAAAGAAGAAGGACACATGGAAAAAGTTATCTCTCTCCAGCCTTTGGCTATTATTGTGTGAAGATGCATTGCTTGGGGCTGCCACAACCATTTTGTGATGAGTATAGACAACAAAGGACAAAGCCAGGCTGTGGATGCCAATGCAGAAAGATAAAATAATTATGGGTTCATGCTAGGCCACTAAATTAACCAACTGAGAATAGCCCTACCCCAGCCTTCTGGTTACATAAGATAATAAGTTCCCAGACAGTCAGGCCATTTTGAGTTGGTTCCTTGGTTTGCAGCTAGAAACGTCTCTGACATTTACTGAGAAACCTCTAGGGCTGCAAAGCAACATGGTATGTGATTCCTGCCTCCCAAAGCTTGAACGTCATTTCCTCAAGAGTACATGCAGAAGCCAGGGAGGTACTGGTTTGATCACATTAGAGAGTACGCTTTGGGGTCAGGCCCCAGAGCTCGGGTTTGGTACACAAGGAGACAGAGTTTCTGAAGGCTTCTGAACAAGGCAGTGACATGATGAAAACTATACAGCTCAAGATTACTCTGGTGGGAGTGTGGAAGGTGGAATGGAAGGGGCCAAGGGACTGGAGGCTAGGGGGCTATTGCCCAGAATGGGATGAGATACTCAAACAGGACAACAAAGCCTGAGAAGAAAGACTGTGCTTCGGGGGCTGTTTTGAGGCAGTTGGTTGTCCAGGCAGCTTCCCCACTAGGGTCTCCCGTGGTAGAACAGCCTTCGAACAGGCGCATGTGCACGGTGCTCCCTGGGAGCAGTGAGCCTCCGCCCGCTCCCCACAGGACCGCGCTCGAGGCAGCGCCAGCCCTGCACGGCCCTCCCCTGAGCCTTGCCCTTCTGGTCCGTGCCCTGCAGCTCGGGAGATTCCTGAGCCTTAGTAATTCCACATCCCCTACGACACTGGTTTGGTGCCTCTCCCCCAGGGTTCTAGAAGGCTTCGGAGCAACTCTGCACCGGGGCCTGCAGGGGTGCATGTGTGTATTAGAAAGAGAGAGAGAATGAGCCACTGTGGACACATCTGTCTCTTACTAGCTGTGGGAACAGGGGCAGGTTACTTAGACGCGCTAAGCCCTAAACTTCCTATCTGTAAGACAGGAACGATAATAGCTAACATTTACTGAGCATTTATTCTGGGTAAGGCATTATTCTGGGTGTTTTACATGCATTAACTCTCACGTTTACACACAGTCCTCACAAGTCTATGATTTCAGAACTTTTATTATCACCCTTTTACAGATGAGGAATCCCAGGCACAAAGAGGCTAACAAACTTCCTCAAAGTCACACAGCCTGGGCAGAGCCTGGTTTGAACCTGGACATTGCAAACCACACAGCCGTAACCACCTGCTGCATCTCACGCACGGGCGTGGTGAGGACGGAGTGGAAGGGTGCCCAGCACGTGCCTGAGCCCCCAATAAACCCGCTGGGACTGCACTCGTCGGGCATCGAGGGTGCGGGCTGCACAGCTGTCTGCAGGCCCGTGTGCCTGTGGAGGGTTCTGCACACATGGCGCGCGTGTGTGCATATATACATACATGTACAGGAGTACATGCGTGTGCAAATATGTGCCTGCTACAGGGAGTACAGCAAGATGGAGCTCTTTTGTGTACCCAGAATGACACCTCAGCATTGAGGACTAACAAGGCCCAGTGGGACACACATGAGATCCCAAGCCAATTAGAGGGAAGGCCACATGACCACAGAGGGGCAGTTAATGAATAACCCCCAGAGAGGGGGCCCTGGAGCTATACAACCAGGGTTCCCCGAAGCGCTGCGGAGTCGGCCTTGGGCCTCACAGCCCTTCCCGGACAGCCCTTCCCGGACAGCCCTCCTGTGGGCTTCTGTGAGCAGGAACCTCGGCCGCCACTCCCCTCCTCACCTCCTCCCGCTCCGCCGCCCCCAGTTGCCGGGCACAGGAATTCCGGCCGTGAGGTACGTGGCTCACTATAGCAGAAACTCCTAGAGAACCTATTTTCAGAATTAGATTCTAAGACCCTGACCCAGGACCTGACTCAGGATCTCCCCGGCTCCCTGAGTGTGTCCCTGCCAGCCCCGCCCAGGCCAGGCTGAATAAACCCCCGGGCTGGGGACTAGCAGTCTGTTTCGTGCAAGTGTAAGTTTGAGAAGCCTTGCTCTAGGGAAGGGGCTGGGAAACCTACACCTGCCTTTTAACCACCTTCCTGGGTGACACAGACAAGTGTGACAACCCAATCAAGGTAAGAACAATTAAGTACGAAGAACAAACCAAGAGTTCAGGGTTCTCATCCCAGCTCCGCTCACACTCTGGACAATTCCTTTCCCTGTCCGGGCCTCAGTTTCCCCATCTGCACAATGAGAACATTGGCCTCTGTTGCCTGTGGGCTCCCCTTCTCTTCAATGTTCTACGATTCCAATAAATACCTCCAAATACAGACTTCCCAAGTCAGAGGCGGCCGCAAGGAAACCGAGCAAAGCGGCCACATTCAGAAGGCCGGGCACACAGCCCATAGGACCCCACGCGGCCACAGCGCGAGGTGCAATCAAAGCCCCAAGGACCCCCTGGGCCTGCTCAGGGGCCACAGGCCGAGGACAGGCACGGTCCGGGAGGGGCCCCACTGAGAGTCCCTGCCTCACCTGCAGCACCACACTGATAGCCATGGCTTTGTAGGAGCTGGAGGAGGGGCCGAAAGCCAAGAACAAGGCCACGGCCAGGGTCACCAGGTTGATCATGGTCTCCAGCCGCAAGGCTATCCACCGCGTGGAGGACAGAAACAGCAGCAGGTAGTTATTCTGCATGTCGGTCAGCCGCTTAAACCTGAGGAAGAAAGCACGATGCGGAACCTGCGTTTGACCGGCCCAGGCTTCCCCAGGGTAGACGCTGGCTGCTCCCTCCCCTCTCCAAGCTGCAGAACTCGGTTTTTCTTGGTGGCGGGGAGGGGTTCCTCCCTAGCCCTTTCTAACCATGGATTTGGGTGGAGCTGAACTTTCTCCTGACCCGCAGTGAGGAGCAGGTCTGCTGGCCTTGGCCCGTCAGCCCTCGCTCTGCCTAACCTCCTGACTCACTCAGGGATGGGGAGTCACCCCAACCGGACTAAACAGAGGGGCGAGTGCCAAGATGTGTGAGAGGTGCAGGGAAGCGATTAACGGGACATCTGAAACTGCTGCTTTGCTGCTACGCGGAGAGCCTGGAGCTGCCAGCGGGCCCCCAAGAACTTAAAGCTGAAATGACACCATGGCAGGCAGAGCAGTGAAACAGTGGCAAACAGTGTCCCCGGGGACAGTAGCTGAGCTCTGGATTCGTCGTTGCTTGCAGTGAGTCCTGCCTGGTGTCTTCGCTTATCTGACCCTGTAGAAGTGCCCATCCCCCCTTCCCCAGACTTTGTAGTCTTTTTTTTTAAGCTAGTTTAGTTTTTTTCTCTCACTTCCAACCAAAAGAGACCTACCAAATTTCCAGTTTTCGTACACCGTCATCACAACTTTCCATGTCGTCGTAACTTATACTGTTATTTGATGAATATTTTTATTTTTGTTTGCTTCACTTTATTTTGGAATTTCTATTAAAGGAAGCTTTATCACTACCTTAAATTACATGGGATTTGATGTGATAATTGTACTTTTTCTAAAGTGCATTCAAATAAAACTTTGATTATTGAAATAAAATGTTCATCTACCTATCAACTAAACCATCCTACCATTCAAGTGGGCAACCACCCCAAGCACAGTGGTGCATATGACTCACTCTGTCTATACCCTCCGAACCTTTGCACGAGCCATTGCAAACTCCGTCCACCTTACCCTTCCACACTGATTGAATCACCTCCACCTTGAGGCCTTCCCAGATTAAACACAACAGAGCCTGGTCACTCCGTGCCCCTGCACTAAAGCTACCTTGCATATCCTCAAACCTATGTCCCCATCTTGTTACTGTTCCCTCTGCCTGGAAACTTCCTACCCACATATTTCCATAGTTCAGCCCTCACTTTATGTAGATCTCCGTTCTGGGCCCTTCCCCTGAAGCAGCTCCAGTCGCACCACAGTCTCTCAGCCTCCTTGCCCTGCGTTATGCCTCCGGGCAGGGACCGTGTCTGTCTTGTTTACAGCTGTATCCCTAGTGGGCGTTGGCACACGGCAGGTTCTCAGCAGGGACTGAATTAATGAAGCGCTCCAGGATGCCCTCGGTCCCAGTGTCTGCACAGTCCTACGCTGTTCTCCGACACCACTGGGAGAGCAGCGCCAGGTTCATCCAGGGTCCAGCTAGCTGAGCACGTGCCGTCCCCCAGATGTGTGCCCACACCTCGTCCACGCTTCAAAGCCAGCTCACATGCCACCTCCTGTGCAAAGCCTTCTCTTATCCCCGCAGGCCACCTCTTTCCCCTCTGAACTCCCAGGGCCGTTTATCTGCTCCCCTCCTATGCGTCCATCTTATCCAATCCCGTATCGTAACAGAAATACACGCCTGCGTCTCCTCTCCCACCAGACTGCGGGCTTCCTGTGGGTGCAGACCACATTCGATTATTCTCTACAAGTAGACGAGTTTATATTACACAATTGAGCCTCAAAAGCAATCAGAGGATTTGTTTGTTCAAAAACCATTCAGAAGGCAAATCTGTGGGTGTGAGCAGTGAATGAAGTTCTATTACTTAGAAAGCTATCGCTCCTCATTATTTTACTAAAATTAGATATTTGGAAGTGAGAGCAAAAAAGCATAATGCAAGATATGTTGACACAATAATACATCTTATTATTAAATATATATGTGTACAGATATAGACAAAATATCCATAGGTCTTTAAAGGTTACAAACATTTTCCATATTGTTTATATTTTTTATTCTCATAAACGCCATCTTACAGATGAAGTTCTGGAGGCTCAGAGAAATAAATGGAATAGAACAAAGTTCTGTCCTGATTCTTTGGAAGGGGATGCCATTCCTAGGTGCTCTACTCCTCTTCCCACTCCTCACCACCCCTGTGGTCCCTGTCATCCTCAGACGGCAGCAGGAGGACTCACTGGCTGACGAAGGCTTCAGATTTCCCATAGACGTGGATGGAGCTCAGGCCATGGAGAGAGGTGAGGATGTGGGAGACTAAAGGCGACCGGCTGTAGTTCTCCAGTCTCTTGAACAGGTTGATGGCTCTGCTGAACATCCTGCATCGGGAACGAAGGTGCGAGACCTGAGCCATCCACCTCCGGAACCATCCCATCAGGTCGGTCCCAGCCATGCACCCCAAGTCACAAAGCCCACTCACAAGCAAGAAGAACCTACTCACATATAATATACGAGGCAAACCATGATGACGATCACCACCATCAGCAGGATATACGGAGACAGCAAAACAACAACCAGCAGGATGGCGACCACCACCAGAAACAGCAGCAGGAATTCCTCAGCAACGACGGGCAAGACCTGGTCCACCTCGTCCAAGTCCCCCGCAAAGCAATTCAAGAGTCGGCCTGTTGGGGTCGTGTCAAAGAAACTCATGGGGCAGCGGAAAACCTGCAGGGACAAAAATCAACCCAGACCATGAGAGTAGCTGCAGCCTTGCTTGGGAGTGGACGGGTATGCCTGTTCCCCTTAGGCTCTGGAGGCGCAGGACGCAGCCGAGGGGCAACAGGGGAAGCAGTGTAGAGTGATGGCTTAGAAGCATGGATGGGCTCTGCAGTTGTCTGTCAGGCTCCAAGGCTCCACCTCCCCCACCTACTGCTGTCCGACCTCGGGCAAGTTATTAAAGTCATTAAATATAAATGTCCGATTTTGAATGAAAAGTTTGGTTTATTATATCTCAAACAAGAAGCAGTACAAATAATCAAAGTATGTGACTAACCTATCAATACAGTTTTGCCATCTTAACAGTAGCTTGTTTATGCCAGCAGCAAAGAAGCCTGGAGAGTGAGTGGCAATGACATCACAGAAAGTGTTTTTGCAGCTTGTTGAGAATTGAATATTTTTCCTTGCAAGAAGAGGTCCAAAGCCTAGAAGAAGTGATAGTCAGTTGGTGCAAGATCTGGTGAATACGGTAGATAACAGAGAGTTTCCAAGTCCAGCCTCTGCAGTTTGAGCAGCATTGTTTGTGCAGCATGTGGTTGAGTGCTGTCTTGCAAGAGGATTAGCCTGTCTTTATTGACCAATCTCAGCTGCTTCATCGCAAGCATCCTCATCATTTCATCCAACTGGTTGCAGCAGACATCTGCTGTAATCAGTTGACCAGGTTTCATGAAGCTGTAGTAGATAATACCAGCGCTGGACCACCAAACAGACACCATTAGCTTTTTTTGATGAATATTCGGTTTTGGACTGTGATTCGGCACTTCATCTTTATCCAACCGTCGTGCAGAATACTTGTGATGGTTAAAAAGAATCCATTTTTCATCACACGTTACAAAAGGGTGTAGAAATGTTTCGCCTTTTGTCGTGACAGCAAAGAAAGGCAAATTTTGAGACGATTTCTCTTCTGACGCACATTTAATTCATGCGGTACCCATCTATCCAGCTTCTTTACCTTGCCCATTTGTTTCAAATGGTCCAATATTGTTGGAATAGTAACATCGAACCTTGCTGCTAATCACGTGTAGATTGGGATAGATTCGCTTCCACTACAGCTTTCAGCTCATTGTTGTCCACCTTGGTCTCAGGTTGCCCACGTGGCTCATTTTCAAGATTAAAATCACCAGAATAGAACTTCTCAAACTCTCGATGTACTGTGCATTCGTTAGCTACATCCTTCCCAAACACTCTATTGATATTTCGAGCTGTCTGCGCTGCATTGGTTCCATGACGGAACTCAGATTAGAAAATAACACGAATTTTTTACTTATCCATGGTTTCACAAAAGTTGCTCTAAAAATAATTTGAAAGACAATCACAAGCCAAAATTTGCGTTTGAAAGACTGAGGATATACCTTCAGAATAAACATAAAGCAAGAAGTTTCAAAGAGAAATGTCAAAGACATCAACTGTCAAACTTAGTGCTTAAGGAAATCAGATATTTCAGACTCAATAGCCTAATACTTAACCCCTCTGAGTCTCGAGGTCCTCATTTGTGAGGTGGGATGATAACGGTGATTCGTAGAATTGCGGTGAGGATCGCACAATTCTTCAAATGTACCAAAAACCTCTGAATTGTACAATTCAAAGGAGGGAATGATACGTCACAGAGCTACGATTAAGAGAGAGAGAGAGAGAGAGAGAGAGAACACTGCCTGCCCCGGTAGGCATCCCATTCTTATTTTCTACAGATGGGACCATTTTCACTCAGGATGGCCAAAGCTTAGCAGCCCCAACTCCACTGCAGTTGCACAAGATTTGGACTCGAGGATGAAATCCATCTGTCACCGCCCCTTCTCGAGGTCGGCACTGCAGCCTGATCTCTAAAAGCCAGTGGGCGAGAGGCCCTTCGGCAAAGAACATTTCGATAAAGCCCTAAAAGGACTAGAAAAACGAAAATATTTTAAACATGAAACATATTTTCTAATGGAAAGAAACTTGAACATTTCTCAAAAGTAAAATACAAAATGTCACTGGGAGGCCTGGCACTGGAAATTTCTAGAATCTTGGAGTGTGCAGTGGAAAGAACCTCAGAGACCACCCAGCCGAGGGCCAGCGCCACAGGCCCCAGGCAGTTTCCCCCTCCTGCTTTCTGGGTCCATGGGCCAATTGCTTTACCTCATTCTCTCAAAATGGAAACACTTAACGGCGAGACAATTTGCATTCAGCCTGCGCAGAATGATGGGTCTCTCCTTGCCTCCTGATTCAGAACCCCTGCCCCACCCTCTGAGCCCCAGCCTTCCTGAACTCCCTTCCCCTCCCCAGGAATGCTCTGCTTTCGTTTTACCTCCAGCCTCCTGATCTTGAACTGGCTAAACCTGATTCATCCTTTAAAAAGTGGTCACCTCCTCCAAGAAGCCTTCTTGGGCTCCTCCCACTTCCTTCTACTGAGGTTAGGTGCCCTTAGGTACCTGTGGCCCTGCGTGCCCATCTGTGGTAAACTTCACACTCCATATTACAGTGGCCCATTTCCTTGTCCATCTGCCCCACTAGATTACAGGCCCGTGACGGCCCAACCCCCCGCAGCAGTCGTTCACTCCTGCAAGCCCAGCGCCCACCGCAGAACCTGGCGCGCAGTCCTACTTGAAACGTGAGAGAGAGAAATGATGTTTCCAAGAGGCAATGTGACACCACAGACAATTTGGAATTCTCACTGTACATGTTTTCCAACCGTAACACACATGGGATTTCCATTTTCTCATGCGTAAAATGAGGATAATGCCCCCCAAAGGGAACGCAGGGCAACACGAACAACCCTCTCTGTGCAGTGCTCGGCCAGCGGAGGCCAGCGCCGGCGCGTCCGCTGGACGCTTAGAGCCACATGGCCAGCAGCAGGGACGTGCCCCCTCCTCGCTCCTTCCGCACCTGCTGACCCAGTCCTCCCACCCGCGACTGTGGCGCTCTGGAAAGGGCAAGACCGTGGAGCCGGTGGGAAAGATCAGCGGTTACCAGGAATTTGGGGAGGAGGAAGGGGAGGGGGAGGAGAAGGGGAAGGGGCGGAGCACCGGGGTTTGGGGCAGTGACACTGCTCTGTGCAGTGGGCGCGTCATCATACGGTTATCAAAACCCGCAGACTGCACAACACAAAGAATGAACCGTATCTGTAAACCAAAAACCACTCAAAAACATAGTCTACTAGTTAAAAAAAAAAAAGTCGGGCGAGGCCAGGGCGAGGCCCGCACCTTGCTCAGGAGCGCGCCGTGCAGGGCCGTGGATGCCTTTCTCGTGACCTTGGTGAACGTCCCCGCCGAGCAGACGCTGACGCAGACCAGCAGCAGGAGGCTGAGGCCGTACACCAGCGAGTAGAAGGGCAGCTGCGGATTGTCGCCGACGTCGCCGGGCTCTGCCGTGGTCCCGTTGCTCTCTCGGCGGCCGGTGCTCTTCGAGAGAGAACAGGGGTCAGAGCGCGTGAGGCCGGGGTGAAATTCGGTGGCAGGCACATCCTTCTCGCCGCGGCCGCGGGAGGCTCGGTGGTGGCAGAAGGTTATGCTGCGATCCGCTAAGCCCTTCCGCTGGGGCTCGGCTGCGGTCTCTCCCGCTGCCTGCCCCGGCCCCCGTCGGCCCCCGCCCGGCAGCCGCCTCCACGTCTCCGCGCCACGCGGGAGAAGCCGCGCGCGCGGCCGCACCCCTTGCCGCACGCTTCCGGGTCAGGGGCCGCCGAGGAGAGGCGCTCGGAAACCCCAACGAAGAAGAAGAAGAACCCCCAAGCCCCGGCCCCAACCAAGGCAAGGGCCGGGCCCCCAACCCCCCCAAAAGCCCCCGGCCCCCCTCTGGGAACCGCCCGCTGCAGTTCCGCTTGCCGCTGGGGTCGCCGGTGGCCGCGTCCCCCCAGTGGCCCCGTAAGCCTCTGATTCCCTGCATTAGATCTTTGGCAGCTCCGACACTTAGAGTGGCTTCTGTTTCCCTGACCAAGCCCCCTGGCAGCTACTCAACAGTGACCGAGCGGAGCACTGGGGGAAGCGTGGCTTTGAGCGCCAAGAGCACTGAGTTCAAGTCCTGGCTCCTCGGTGTCCCAGGGCAGGTTCTTTATCCTCTAGACACGGTGCCCTCATAGGCAAATGGGGACAGAGAAACCCACCTCGGAATGCGGTTGGGAAGATTAGTGAAACAAGCAGACACGGTGCGGCCCAGGGTGGCTCCCGGCTCCCAATACCAGGAGCGCAGGGCACGTTTTCAATAAACCACAGCGAGAGAGCAAGGCTGGAGCCAAAGGCAGAAGTCACTAAGGTGGAATGTAAAGATTCTTGAGGAGCTGCCTGGGGACAGAAACCTCTTGATTTTGTCCCAATAAGACTGCATGGGTGACCACCCATTCTGCAAACCCAGGAGGCCAGCGCTAGGAGGGAAGCCCCCACCCCACAGCACCCTGACTCCCAGATGGTTATCTCTGGAGCACTTTCTGCCAACGCGGCTCTGGGCACGCCCTGCGGGGCCCTGGCAGCACTCTGGCCCTCGTGGTCCCAGGGAACAAGAAGCCACCCACTGCACCCAAGCCCACAGAAATACAATGCGCCTGCATCGGGTACTTACCCCTGAGCCCTGCTCCAACCAATAGCTCAGCCACCAGAAGCTGAAGATCAGGAGGGAGACGATCAGAAGCATGAGAAGGAAAGCCGCGAAAGAGACCACGTACCCTGGGAGGGAGGGAGAGGTGACGCTCAGGAACCACAGAAAGGTGCAAGGCAACGGCCGACAACACTGCTCGGCCACCCCCTGCCCTGAGTCCTTGGAAATCCTGAGCCCTGTCCACCTTGGACGCCTTGGAGGACTGGGAAGAGCTGGGTTCCGAAGTCAGAGAGCCCTGGGTTCAAATCCCAGCTGTGCAACTTCCAAGCTGTGTGACCCTGGACAAGGTACCAAACGTCGGTAACAGCTCACTTCTGTGCCTGTGAAAGGTGATAGTCGTACGCGCGGCAGGGCCGTGCTGAAGATGACGTGAGATAACATGAGTTGAGCACCCAGCCGGTGCCTGGCACACAGCAACACTGCGGAGAACTTAGTTCCCTGTGCCAGTCCTGTGGCGTCGGTTTTTAAAAGAGGCTTCCGAGAGCCGCCTCCCCTGTTTTCTGTCTCTCTTGCCCTGTGAGGACACACTTGTCCTCTCCAAAGAACAGACGACGCAGTGCTCAAGGCGCCATCTCGGAAGCAGATGTGGGGCCCTCACCAGACACCCAACCTGCTGGTGCCCTGATCTTGGACTTCCCAGCTTCCAGAACAGCGAAAAACACATTTCTGCTCCTTATAAATTCCCCGGCTCGGGTATTTTGTTACAGCAGTACAAATGGAGTGAAATGATGAGGAAACTGAATCTCAGAGAGGGAAAGTAACTTGCCCACAGTCACAGAACTGGTGAGTAGTAGACCGGGAATGCAAACAAGGTAAGGATGGGAAAACTCAGGGCACGTTCCTCCCGCCTCTTGCCCCGTCACCTGCCCACCTACCCGTGCTCATGGTCCCACACCCATTGTCTTTTCCAAAATTCTCCTCTTCCTTCAAGGGCCACCTTTTCTTTGATGAGATCTGAGATTCCCTCACAGAGCTCTCTCTCACTGTCTGGAGGAAGCAATGTCTTAAGTCTCCAGCTAGATTCCAGGGTTGGTTCTTAGATGGGTTTTATACTCCCTCCCTCCAGAGCTTGGTACAGTGCCTGGCACGTAGTAGGTCCTTTGTAAACACAGATCAGTTGGCTGCTCGATTCATTTACGCGTTTCCCAAGCATCTTCTGTGCCCCTGCTCTGGGCAGGCCCTGTGTTGCACCCTGCAGGGACACTCGTGTTGGAAGGAGTGGGGATGGGGACCTCCTGTCCACAGCCTACCTCATCCTCCCCCAGACGGGTAGAGAGGAGACACGCCTTACAGAGGGTTAGGTTCCAAAGTCAACAAAGAGTAAAAAGTTGCATGGAGTCAAACTTACTCTCAAAAATCTATTAAGTTACTGAAAAAGTAGAGTATCATACACTTGGTTTTGTGTTTACAACATTGTATAGTAAATATACATGGTAATATACCCCATTTAATAAAGCAGTAGCTTTGAACTTCTAAATGCCATTTGCCTGCCTTAAGAAATACATTTTAAATCATGCCTAATATACACCAAAACGAGTTTCACCAGTATTACAATATGCAATGCTTGCTGACATTTTCACTCCTATTCTATTGCACTTATATATCCCATAAGCAAAATAGGACAATATGTGCCATCGTCTCTCAGTGCTGCTCATGACCTCTCTCTGCTGATTGCACAGGCCACGAGCAGTCAGAGCCCAAAGTTCGAAAACCCTGAAATAATGAATACGTGTGAAAACATAACTTCTGACATCAGCTTTGGTGGTAGAGTTACTGCACTAACGACAACATTCGCTCAGGTTTGTGCGAGAGAGGCGAACGCGCGGCATGGCTCCTCTGCACTTCTCTGCTCCACACGACCCCACAGGGCCCAGTCTGACCCCGTTTCCGGGGCAGGGCCGTTCCGAGAGAGAGCCCCAGGCCTGGCATGGGGTGACTGACGGACCGTACCTCCGGCCGCCTGGATGTAGTGGTGGTAGACGCTCCAGCTCAGGGAACCTTCTTCCATCTGCTCTTTGTCTGCGAGCTGATGCTCCGGCACTGGGTCAGGGTGAAAGGAGGGGAAAATAGTGTGCCTTCCGATTACCCGACCTCCCTCCAGGGTCAAGAGGAATCCGGGCGAATCCTTCGCTCCTGGCTTTGACCCTTTCCAGCTTCCTCACCTCCCAGCTCCAGGGCCCCCTCCCCCCTAGGTCTGGCCCTAACCAGCAGGTTTTCCATGGAAGACGCTGCTGGAAGTCACCTTGCACCTGACTCCAGAGCCTGGAAAGGGGATCCGTCCCTGGCCATCCGATAAACTTTGGAGGGCCTAGGTTCCCAAGTGCCTGATGGGCTAAGGGAGGCAGCAGGAGAGAATGAAGAAAGCAGCGACCTGGGACCAGAAAACCTGGGTTCCAGAATTGTCACCATGACACTGTGCAACCTCAGGCAAATCACTTAACCTCTCTGTTTCCTCATCTAAAACATGGCAGGCCTAGATGGTTGCCAAGATGCTCTGCCGCAGTACGCTTCTGAGACAACACACAAAACAGCCATAAGCCCAGCCCGGCAGACCCTTTGGCCTTGAGCTGGGCCCACAGCCAGTACCCGGACATACTAGTAGATGCTTCTGACAGTAACAGTGACAACAGTGGTGGGCTTCTGTCACTCTGCCTGACCTTCTCCGCCCTCTGGTAACCATGCCCTGATGTTTCCTGGGGAAGGGCTTTCTTCCTGGAATCTGAATGCGGAGGGAAATCACACTAGGATGGGGATTTTTTGAGAGGCTTTCTTCAGAAAGACTCTGCTGGAGACTGGGCCGGCAATGTGCCAGGCTCTGCGCTGGGGATTTCCCTCCACCTGACCTCATCCAGTCTTCACTATCATCCTGCAAAGTAAGTACTATTATCTCCACTTTTGCCAGCGAGGGTTCAGAGAGGTTAAGTTGTTTGGCCAAGGTCACACAGCTTTCTGCTACTCTGCTTCACAAAATAACAAGGCCATGAGCTTCCGGATGTCAGGGGCTGGGCCCAGCTCATGTCTGATTTCTGACACCTTTGCTCCCAACATTTACTCTTGATGAATGTGTAATGAATGAATGTCCAGATGCCTCACCACGTCTTAAGTCTGTGCCAGGGCCAGAGCCACCCCTTCCTGCCTCTGATGCACGCCCTCAGCTGTGCCCCCAACAACACTCCTGTCTGGTCCTTCAGGCCTCCCGACCACCACAGTCCTCACCCCATGGCCCCGGACTACTTGGATCTGTAACCTGCGTGTGGGAATGTTGGGATCTCAGACAGTGAGGGACATGGCCCGGTTTAGGGTCCAGCAAGAAACACCAGGACTCTGGAGGCCCCAGGCAGGCATGCAGAAACCCCCATCCTGCTTCCCACGCCGCTACCAGCATTCTCGCTGAGACGCTCTTCCTGGGAGGTGGCCTGAGCCCGCCCTTCTGCCTGAGGCTTCTCCGCTGCCTTTGCTGTGTCCCATGGCGTGTCCTGTGAGAAGACACATGCCGTGAGTGCGGGGTGCTCTGCCCACGGGCAGCGAGGGGGCGGAGTGGAAATCACCTGTTTTGCTTCCTCTGGCTGCATCTTCTGGACCAGCCGGGCGTACTGCCCCTTTTTCCGCATTAACTCCCTGTGAGCTCCATTCTCACAGATTTTCCCATCTTCTAGCAAAATGATCTGGTCGCAAAACTCTAAGTACTGGGCAGTCAGAAGAAATAAGGTCTTCGGTAAACATGGAAAGATACTCAACTTTACTATTCATCAGGAAAATATAAATTTAAATCATAATAAAATATTATGTCACACCACCACGTTGCAAGCATTTAAAAGTCAGACAACCTCAAGCGTTGATGATGATTCAAGATAAAGGGAACTCTTATAAAATGTTAGGCGGATTGTAGATTGATGCAACTACTTTGGAGAACAATTTGATGTATTTAGTAACATGGAAGATTTTTGAAGAATTATGAGCCAAGGATTCAACTCCTAAAAACTCTGCCCTAAAAAACTCTTAAACATGTGCACAAAGACACGTGTATAAGGATGTAGACTGAAGCATTTTTGTAAAAGTGAAAGTGGACGCAAATGTTCATCCTGGAGAAATAAATTCTCGTATTATTTAGATATTGGAATACTACACCAATGAGAATCAAACAAAGGTACCAACATAGAAGATCTCAAAAAAGATAATGTTGAGTGGAAAAAGGAAATTACTGAAGGACACAGAAAGTAAAATATCAATTATATGGAGTTTAAAATACACAAAAGATTCAGGATCTATATCCTAGAGAAAAAACGCAAATGGAACTTCAGCATAGAGGGAAAGGTGTCTAGAGATTCATGCACATGTTGAAACAGCATAAAGACATGCATTGAGAACAAAAAACGACAACGTGAGAATAGCAAGAGGGAGGAAACGGAATGCAATTTGAAAGCGGAATTAATGTTTTATTGTTTAATCTGGGTGGTAGGTAGATCCATGGGCTTTCGTTAATTATTTTCGGAAACTTTTTCAGGTCTTAAATATTTTATACCAAAAAAATGCCAAAATAATAAAGCAAAAATAAGGGATCAAGAGAAGAAGAAACAGAAGAGAAACAGGAGAAATAGGAATACGGTCTCAAGGCTGATGTCATGTGTGCAAACAGCAGGGAAAATGACCCAGGAGAGGCAGGACCACAAACAGCCACTCTACTACGGCCATTGTCAATAAGAAAACACCCTGAGACGGCTCCTAATATAAGAACGGGAGAATCGGAGAATTCTCCTTCTCCAAGGGATCGTTTTCCTTTTTTGTAACTTGAAAAGCAGGGTCTATTCACAAAATTTTGAAGATAAAGGAGACTTTAAAATCTGGTATCAATTTTTACCGACCACAGACGTCTTTTACAGCCTGTCTTCCCCATACGGAAAGCAGAGGAAATCCAAGCTCTTGGCAACCCTCCCTGAAGTCGGGGGAATCTAGATTGGGATGAAGGGGCAGCTGCTATGAGGTTGCTATTGAACCACACTCTGAAATGGCAGGGCCTTGAGAATCTGTGCTCTCTGTCACTTGTGGCCAGAGCCATAGAGTGGTGGTCACCTGCAGCTGGTGGGTCACCAGGACAATGGTCTTGTCCTTGAGCATCTTCTTAATGCACTCCTCAAAGATGTGCTTCCCCACGTGGGCGTCCACGGCCGAGAGGGGGTCATCCAGCAGGTAGAGCTCACGGTTGGCGTAGACGGCGCGGGCCAGGCTGATCCTCTGCCTCTGCCCCCCAGAGAGGTTGACACCCCGCTCCCCGATCTGCAGACAAGCATCACAAGGCACCATGTTCAGAGAGTGAGCACAGTCAGGTGTGCTCAGATGAGGGGCGGATGTGGCAGACTGTACATCTTAGGACACACCAAGATATGTGCACATTCTAGGACACCGATGATTTGGCACCCCTGGCACTTAAAAAATATTTTTAAAAATTTGCTTAGTAGGGAATAAAGAAACTGATTTTCAATTACTATTTTTATATCTTAATTAGATACAGTTTTTCTAAACCTGTCAACTTCTCAGGAGGCATATTAAACTAATAAAAATTTAGATAGTAAAAATAAATCACTGATTCCCAAGAACAGTACCATCTTACATGTTATTCGGATTTTAAATTTCCATTGACTGCACCTGTCAACTTGCAGGACCGTCAGCCTGGGTTAGGGGTATCATCGAAGACTATGTGTAGCCACCCAACAGACACAGCTTCACTGGCTGGGAGGACCTTGACTGTTGCTCACTCAGCACCTGTGGTTTTAGGAGCTGAGGGTGGAAACCTGAGTTACTGAGCATGTTTTGATTGCCCTTGCAGATCAGCATTCTAGGCAGCTGTCAGCTGGCCCATCTCTCCGTCAAGCTCTGAGTGCAAAGGAGCTGAAGGCTAAGTCCTAGTTCTTGCTCTACCATGAATTCTTGAAGTCTCAGCAGAGAAGAAGCAGAGTTAAAAAGGTGGCAGAGTGACCTCTTGTCACTGCTCTACCTCCAAGTCACCACTGTGTGACCTTGGACAAGCAACTTGACCTGGCCAAAGCCCAGTTTCCCCATTCATTTATTCATTCATTCATTTAAAAAATACTTATTAAATGCCTACGTGCTCTTATAATAATAGCTAACACCTCTCCTATGCTGGACACTATTAAAAGCACTTGAGAGAAATTCTGCCATTAGACTCAAGGCTGCGACATCAACTCTTGCTGGAATTTCTAGCCCTGCTGATTTTGGACTTACCAACCCCCATAATTATAGTTCAATTCTATGCATAATCTCACTGCTCTTCAAATAAAAATGAATATTTTGGGGACTTCTGGTTCCAAATGGCAGCATAGAGACAAACTGAATTCACTATCCCCCAAAACATAAAACCAAAAACAAAAATGCAGTGCCAAGATCTAATCAAACAACTCAAATCATTGAGCTCAAAGACTAGCTATTTGAAAATACATAGTCAGATGGAAAAAAAAGAAAAAAGAACAAAAAAGAATGAAGACCTCCTACAAGATATAGAAAATTACCTCAAAAGACCAAATCTAAGAATTATTGGTTTTCAAGAGGAAGCTGACCAAGAGTAAAGGGTAGAAAGTTTACTCAAAGAAATAAAAACAGAAAAATTTCCAAAACTTGAGAACGATATAAATATTCATGTGTAGGAAGGTCTTAGAACACCAAACAGATTCAATCAAAATAAGACTAACCTAAGGCATATAATAATCAAAATCTTAAATATCAAGGCAAAGAGAAGATGCTAAAAGCAGTGAGAGATAAGCAAATAATATACAAAGGAACTTCAATTCATCTGGCAATACACTTCTCAACAGAAACCATACAAGTCAGGGGGGAGTGAAACAACATTTTCGAAGTGCTCAAAACAAAAGGTTCTATCCAAGAGTGATAACAAAACTGTCATTCAAATATGAAGGAGAGATAAAGTCTTTCCCAGACAAACAAAAGCCAAGAGAATTCACCACCACCAGACTTGTATTGTAAGAAATAACAAAGGGAGTTCTTCAATCTGAAAGAAAAAAAACACTAATGTACAAAAGAAAACGTTTCATGGTATAAAACCCACTAGTAAACTTAAGTACATCCACAAACCCAGAATACTATATTACTGCATTTGTGGTGTGCAATCTATTCATAACTCTAATATGAAGTCCAAAAGGCAAATCTATCAAAATAATATTAGCTACAGGAAACTTTTAAGAGATAGATAATATAAAATATATAAATTGAGTCAACTAAAAGTCAAAATGCGGGGGGCCGGGGCAGGGGTTGGAATTAAAGTATAGAATTTTTTGTGGGTTTTTTTGCATTTATTTCTATTCTTTTATTTGTGATCTAAGTTGTCATATTTTCAAAATAATCTGTTATATCTGTAAAATGTTTTTTGTAAGCCTCATGGTAACCACAGCACAAAAACCTGTAATAGATTCACTAAAAATATAAAGCAGCAAATTAAAACATACTACCAGAGATAATTACTAGATCATAAAGGAAGACAGGAAGAAAGGAAGAGAGGATTCTCAAAACAACCAGAAAATAAGCAACAAAATGGCAGTAGTAAGTCTTTGCTTATCAATAATGACGCTGAATGTAAATGATCTCAGTTCTCCAATTAAAAGGCACAGAGTAGTTCAATGTATAAAGAAACAAGACCCAACTATATGCTGCCTTCAAGAAACCCACTTCACTTATAAAGACCCACAGACTGAAAGTAAAAGGATGGGAAAAGATATTTCATGTAACTAGAAACCAAAAAAGAGCAAGGGGAGCTATGCTAATATCAGATAAAATAGACTACAAATCAAAGACTTATTAAAAAAAAGACAAGGAGGGTCACTAATGATAAAGGAGTCCATTCAGCAAGAGGATATAATAATTATAAATATCTATGCACTCAACCCTGGAGCTCCCAAGTATATAAAGCAAACATTAATAGATCAAAAAGGAGAGATAGGCTGTAATAAAATAATAGTGGGGGACCTTAATACCCCGTTCTCAGATCACCCAGTCAGAAAATCAACAAAGAAACAGCAGAGTTAAACCTGATGCTAGAGCTAATAGGCCTGACATTTACAGAACGTTTCACCCAATTGCTGCAGAACACACATTCTTTTCATCAGCACATAGAACAGTCTTCAGAATAGACCATATCTTAGGCCACAAAACAAGTCTGTCAAATTCAAAAAATAGAAATCATATTGAGTATTTTCTCTGACCACAATAGAATAAAACTAGAAATCAATAATGAGAGGAACCTCAAAAAATACACAAACACATGTAAATTAAACAACATGATCCTGAATGGCAAATGGGTCAATGAAGAAATTAAGAAGCAAATTTGAAAATGTCTTGAAACAAATGAAAATGGAAATACAACATGCCAAATCTATGGGATATGACAGAAGCAATACTGAGATGGAAGTTTATTGCGACAAAGGCCTATATCAAAAAAGTAGAAAGACTTCAAATAAACAACTTAATGATGCACCTCAAGGAACTAGAAAAGCAAGAACAAACCAAACCCAAAATTAGTAGAAAGAAAGAAATAATAAAGATCACAGCAGAAATAAAGGAAACTGAGACTAAGAAATCAATACAGACGATCAACAAAACAAAAAGTTGGTTTTCTGAAAAGATAAAAGTGGCAAACCTTTAGCTAGACTAATAAAAAAAGGAAGAAAGAAAGAAGACCCAAATAAATAAAATCAGAAATAAAAAAGGAGACATAACAACTGAGACCTCAGAAATACAAAAAATCATTAGGGACTATTATGAACAACTATATGCCAACAAATTGGAAAACCTGGAAGAAACATAAATTCTGGGGCACATACAACCTACCAAGATTGAACTATGAAGAAATAGAAAACCTCAATAAACCAATAATAAGTAATGAGACTGAAGCTGTAATAAAAATTCTCCTATCAAAGAAAAGCCCAGGACCTGATAGATTCACTGCTAAATTCTACCAAACATTAAAGAAGAACTAACACCGATCCTACTCAAACTCTTCAAAAAAAATAAAAGAGGAGGGAATACTTTCAAACTCATTCTACAAGGCCAGCATTACCCTGATACCAAAACCAGACGAGGACACAACAAAAAAAGAAAACTACAGGCCAACATCAATGATGAACATAAATGTAAAAGTCCTCAACAAAATGCTAGGACACTGAATTCAACAACACATTAAAAATATCAATCACCATGATCAAATGGGATTCATTCCAGGGATACAAGTATGATTCAACATATGTAAATCAATAAACATGATACATCACGTTAATAGGATCAAGAAGAAAAACCATATGATTATTTTAATAAATGCCAGAAAAGCATTTGATAAAATTCGACATCTCTTTATGACAAAAAAGAAACCCTCGTCAAAATGGGTATAGGAGGAACATACCTCAAAATAATAAATACCATATATAACAAACCCACAGCTAACATTGTATTGAATGTTGGTTACCGGAGGCCGGGAAGAGGAGTTGGAAGAGGGGATGAAGGCAAAAAAAAGAAAAAGAAAAAAAAAAAATGAAGCTTCCACTGCCTGAACCCACAAAACTAGGATTTCACCCATGAGTTTTTGTTGAGTTTCACACACTTTATACATTATACAGCAAAGTACATAGCTAGCTAAATCTTTATCCAAACAGTCAACAAATGGGAAAATCTAATCATACCCTACTTCACCATTTCCTGTTAATGAGAAAATTATGCAAAGGAGAGTCCCCCATTTGAAATGTTGAAAGCTAACACATGACAGTTAACCAATTTAATTTTTAAAAAGGAATAAAAAGCAGTTTGTATGTATTATTAATTCATTAAACCTCGAAGCAACCCGATCAAGTCAGTACTCTTATTTACACCATTTTACAGATGGGACCTTGTTCTTCCTGTTGAGAACTGAGCTCTCTACCTTCAAGGATTTATAATCCCAGCTTTAAAAGAAGGATAACAAAAGGACTTCCCTCCCAAGGTTATTGTGAGGCTCGCCTAAGACACTGTGTTCAAGTTGCTAATAGTACCTTGCATGTAGTAGTGTTCAGCAGACTGAACTGTTATTAGATCATTAAAACCAAGATAACAATACTACTTTTATCTTGGGTGGGGAGTCTTATGTGGATTAAAAGTGGCTGCAATTTAAGATAGTGAATTATCAGGAAAATGTTACAGTCAGAAATCACATTGCCCCTGTGGGGTGTTGGCTGTGTTCCCACTGGCAAAGAAAGCGCTGTCCAGAGTGGGGCAGGGTGGGTGGGTGGGGCACAGGTGGCTTCTCATCTTTACAGGGTCTCTGCTCTTGCTTCAGAAGGAGGGCTTGAGGTCAGCTCTCCACCTGTGCGGGCTAAGGTAGCCTTTTCCTTCTCCGGCCCCCCCGTGAAGTCAGCCCAAATTCCCTCAGTGGGGGAGGCTTTGCTCTTTGCTTTGAAGAAGCAGCTGCGGGGAAAGCTAGGGAAGGAAGCTGCTTTGGGAAGGAAGGGCTGGGGTCCTCCTCTCCCTACCCGTGGAGGCAGCCTGAGCACCGAAGCACCAACACTGCAACAGAGCTGGGGGTGCTCGCCTCCCACTCACCTCCGTCATGTCGCCGAAGGGCAGAAGTTCCAGGTCCTGATTCAGGGAGCAGCAGTGGAGGGCCTGGAGGTATCTGCAAAGGACAGGGAGCTGGAAGGGACCGGTGGCCAGCCTCTGGCCCGCCACCCTTCCCAAGTGTTGAAGGGGAAAAAGTCTTGAATTCAATGCGAAGAAATTTGGACTTGATCTTGTGTTTAATGGTAAACTGGAGCCTTTCTAAAATTTCCTTCCCTCTTTAATTTCTTTTAAATTATTAATAACATGTGTTCTCAGTAAATATTAATATTTGAACAAAACAAAAAGTTGCAGTGAAAAGCAGATATCCCTCTCATGTTTGACCCTCAGTTGCTTTCCTCAGAAGCGGCCACTAGTACAGTTTCTTATGTATTTATTCAGAAACAATCCGTGTATGTATGTATGTGTGCAGCATATACAGGATTATTTGTTTAATGGCACCATAGTATTCCACTATGAGGCTGTACCATAAATTATTTAACCCGTGCCCTAGTGATGGACACCGGGCTTGTTTCTATTTTTGCGCTCCTATGAGCAATGCAGTGTGAACGTTCTTGTACATAAGGCTTTGTCTTCGTAGGTGAAAATATCTACACACAAAATACCTAGCAGTGGATTTGCTGTGTCAAAGGGTTGGTATATTTTTATTTTTGGTGTTTCAAAACGGCTCTGTGAGTCATATCAGTCTCACAGCACACAGTGGCAAGACAAGAGCTATGTTTTAGGGAGATGCCCTGGAGACAGCCACAGGGTGGAACCGAGGGGGAGATGAGGGACAGGAATCCAAGGGCCAGGCGGTGAGAACCGTTCAAACAAGAGATCACAGACCGGAACTAGCAGCAGGGATGGAGAAGAGAGAAATACAGGAGATATTTAGGAGACAGACTCATCCAGGGGTGGTGACCAATTAGACGTGGGAGGTATCACAGGAGGGGTGTCAGGCTTGCTGGGGTGCACAGTCTGGGTGATGCCATTAAACTGAATTGGGCGGTTTGGGAAGAGAAGCCAGGAGGATGGGGCTGGGTAAAGAGAGTGCTCATGAGCTGGTATCAGACAGGATTGAGAGGCACCCACAGGACAAGCAGACGGAGAGGGCCAGTTTATACACCTATATATCTACACCACTGTGTGCTGTTACAGGGCAGATTGCAAAATCAAGCAATGAAAGCGAGTCAGAGTCCACGTCCTGTGTTGGAAGCATAGCTGTAGTTTTCCTGGATCGTCCATTGAATAGGCTTCGCGCTTGACATCCAAGAGCATGTCTTAAGCAGGTTAACCCCAGGATTCTGGGGGAGGGAAGGGAGGGACATGGGTGGGATATGGTAGGTCCCCTAGGCCATGAATCCAAACTCATTCCTGTAGATTGGAGAAGCTCATCACTGCCATTTGTTTTCCTTTTGACTCAGGATTTAATTAACACAAATGAAGTTTTAATGTAACATTTTGGAGGAGGAGAGAGTATTGACTATTTTGAACAAATATAACCTAGTAGGGTAAGTGTGAAGTTTCTGAAAGCAACTGGGTTCAAATTCTAGCTCTCTCATATCGTACCAACTGTGCGACTTTGGGCAAATTATTTAGCTTCTTGAGGCCTCAGCTGACTCGTTTAGAAAATGAATATGGAAATATTTCTTCCACAGTGAGGAGGAAATATGGCATGTATGTAAATAAGCACACAAAAAGTATTAGCAGTTGTCGAATTACTATTAGCAGCTGAGGTCCCTCCCCAAACCAGCCGCATGCCCCGTGCTCTTCCCTGACCTCCCTCAAGCTTACCGGGCCTTGTCATACGGGCCTCCCAGGAGGATGTTGTCCCGGATGCTACCCCTGATGATCCAGGCCTGCTGGGGGACATAGGCCAGGCTTCCGTGCACCCCCACCGAGCCCTCGAGCAAGTGCATCTGCAGCAGAACGAGCCGAGCCTCAGGACCGGGGCAGGCCAGGGGACAGACCCTGCCTGGATCAGTGGCCACACTGCTCAGGGACCCACTGCTCTCTGGTACCCCGGGAGCTCTCCTATGTAAAAGTGACTTTGAACGTGGCCCTGCCAGGCCCACCAGCGAGTCTGAAGGCACAGACATGAGAACATGTGGAAGCAGCTGGAGATAAGCCCGGCCAGTTTCTGCCTTGACTGAATCCAGGACGCCCCACACACTTCTTCCTCTTACTTCCCCCGCCCTGTTGCCTGGCGACCAGGGCCTCCACGGTCCTCACGGCGCAGACTGAAAGTTCCAGGCCATCTCTGACCATGCCTGCGTATTACGGAATTATTATTGTTAGGCATGATAATGTTATCATGGTTAGATAGAAAACTTTCCTTATTTTCAGACATTATGATGAAGTATTTACTAGGGAAAGTGTTATAACCTCTGTAATTTAAAATAATGCAAAATATATATCTGCGTAGCTGAGGCCAACAGGAAGTATATCAACTGTGGAATCCAGGTGGTGGGTATATGGGTCTTTACTATGGTGTTCTTCCTGCTTTTCTGCACCCTAAGTTTAAAAACACATGTCAAAAACAAATAGAGACTGGACCCCATGCCCACCACGCCAGCACAGGACCTCGCCATCCTGGCCCCTTTCTCTTTTTCATCCTGTGCTTTTTCCTTTTGATTTGGAGCCAGGCTTCGATTAATAAGAATAAAACTTTGAAGTGATAGCTCCTTGTTTCTGTTTATTGGAAGGAAAGCGACCGGTTCGTTTGCAGAGGAAACTGACACGCCGCTGGCCACGCAGAAAGGCGGCCGTGTGTGGAGGCTGCCGGGCAGCGCCACTGTGATGTGGGACGCAGCTCCGACCGCGAGTGGACGTGGCTTTCGACCCTGGCTCACCCCTTACCTGCTGCGTGACCGTGGGCCAGTCGCCTCTCTGAGCCTCATGTGCTCATTTATAAACGAGCCATGATGACTGTGCCTTCTTCGTGGGCTTGTTACCAAGGTGAAAGGAAGAAACAGAAAGCTCTTAAGGCAGGACCTGGCATGTACGTGTTTCAATTATTTTTGCTATTTTTTAAATGGAGTCTTCTTCTCCCTGGTTGCAAAGCAGCTGCGGCGAGGCCGTCACGTGTGGCGCACAGAGAAAGGGGCGCTGGGCTCGCGGGGCGGGGCCGGCTTAGGGGGAAGCAGGGGAGGAAGAGCCGCGCAGAGGCGGGAAACTGCTAGTTCTCCCAGCCCCCGGGAAGCCGGATACTGCGCAAAGAAAGGGGGAGGAAGAGAGAGAAGCCCCAGGGGCTGGGGCCGACGGGAAGGGCTGGCGAGAGAGGGGAGGTGGCCATCAATACGCAGCAGGTGTCGTGGGTGTTTTCAGTTTTCGGTACAAGGTGTGCAACGTGGCCGCGAAGGATCCGGGGATGGGTTTGGAGAAGGGATGTGCGAGCCACATGTCTTCACGAGCGCAGACCACGCAGACGTGGAACCCGTCTGCAGCAGGTGGAACTGGGGACTTCGAACCCGAGGCGAGGGCGCTGGCGGACACGCAGGTTCCCCCGCTGGGTCTGAGTGAGACCGCCCCGCCCGTCGGGCCGCCCTTCCGCCCGCCTCCTCCCTCTTTCTGCGCCTTCCGCTCTGCGCACCGTCCCACCCCTGACAGTGTGGGTTCGGCTTCATAAAATGATTCTTATTGCCATGTTAACTTGGACACGCCCTGTATCGTCACAGAGAACAGGAGAGCGTGGATCCCCAGGCGACCTACGAGGCAGCTGGCCCTCCCTGAGTGCTGCCTTGCTGGGGAGAAAGCCCGCTGAAGAGGGCGCATCTGTATAACCCACCCCTCCACTGGCGCATGCGCGATCATTTTCAGTTTATAAAAATCCCCCTTGCGCAGACCGCCGAGAGGAAGAGCGCGGCGGGGATTGCTGGAGGACTGCAGCTTCGTGCACCTGGACTGCCCGTGGGTGGGCATGCACGTGGCCACCCGTCGCTTACCTCCCCCAGGATGGCCGACAGCAGGCTGCTCTTGCCGCTCCCTGTGTTGCCACAGATCCCTAACATCGTCCCCTGCGAAGCCAAGAAGGACAGACAGGCGTTGGGACAGCACAGCCTTCCCACTTGCCCAGGTAGGTCAACTATTCGAACACACAATGACAAACAGAGAACAAAATAATATATACAACCCAAGACCCCTCAGGCAAGCAAAGCTCAAGCGGAACTTTGAGTTCAATCTGTAAAGGGAACAGGGTAATCTGAGAGGAAGGAAATTACAGGGAGTGGCAGAGAAGAACACCAGAGCACAGATGGCAAGAAACCTGAATTCCAGATAGGCATCTACTCTACTCTGTAATCCTGGGAAAGTCACTTAGCCTCTCTGAACCTCAGTTTTTTCATCTGTAAAAGGAGGACAAACAAGCCAGCATCACAGAATTTATGCAAGGGTTCAACCCTTCATTCATCATTCATCTGTCGAACAGTGATTCGAATTTCTTCTATGTACCAAGTAATGAAGGAAAAACTCTCATTGAGCTTATACTCTAGTGGAGCCAGGGGACACAAATAAGTAGATTAATTAATTAAATCAGACAGTAATAAGTGAAATAAATAAAATGAAATCAGCTACTATGACAGAGTTGGGAGTTAAGGCAATTTTAGATGTGTTGGCCAAAAAAGCTTCTTTAGAGCAGGTCTCATTGCAACTCAGCCCTGAATGCCAAGAAAGAGCAAGACACAGGAAGGTCTAGAGCAAGAGTGTTCCAGGATGTGGGAAGAGGAAGTGCAAAGGTCCTGAGGCCAGGACAAGGCTGAGAAATCTGTGAAGCTGGCACGGAGGAAGTGGATGGGAGAAGAGGTCAGAGGTACAGGTTGCTATTTGGAGAAAACCTGGGTGCTGTCCTGGGGGTACTGGGAAGTCACTGAAGGGTTTACGCAGGACAGTGACTTGAATTGGTAAATGTTTTAGAAAGGTCCCTCTGTCTACTGCACGGCAGTGGATTATAAGAGGGCAAAAGTGGAAACGGACTCTGGGAGGGAGGCTCTGGGAAGGCACGACGGTGGCTGGGGCTGGAGCAGTGCAGGCCCAGGGTGGAAGGTGGCTAGGTGCAGCAGAATGTTCAGACAGAGCTGGAGGCCTCGCTGGCAGACTGGAGTGATGGGAAGGAAGGAAAGGAATCAAGTCTCACATCCAAGTCCTTGACCACCGGAAGGACGATGGTGCCACCTCCTGAGATGACGTGCAAGTGCTCCACACACCCCACAGCCTCCTGCCTCCACTGAGGGGGCCCACCCTCCCTGCTGACAGGTCCCTGGCACAACTGCCCTGCCCCTACCCCCTACCAGCCACATCCCAGCAGCGCCATTCCAGGAGCTCGGCCCCAGAGGCCTGCATCCTGCGCGCCCCATGCTGTGTCCTGGAGCCCTGCAGCTGCCTGTCTCTGCCACTCTCCCCTGCGGCAGGCCTGAGGCACACCTGCCCTGCCCCTGCTCGAGCGTTCCACTGTGACCAAGGGGTCAGCCCTCCCTTCCCTGTCACAGCCAGAGAGGACCCAGAGAGGCCTGAGGTCAAGTTCACCAGCCCAATCCCAGTCCAGCCCCCCACCCCAGGTCTCAAGTACACCATCCATGGGAGATTGGGGATTACCTAATGTAGTCCCCCACGGCTAGCGCCTGGACACTTCCCCAGGGGCCTGAGGTTGGGTTGACACAAATTGCCAGAAACACCACGGCTGGCACCAGCCGCACACACTGAAAGGCAGGGCCCCTCTCCCTCTCTACACGGAGCCGCGGTGTTCCCTGCAGAGGAGGACAGGCAAGCCACAAAGCTGTCTGTTTGGGGCTAACGGAAGAGGTTCTGCCCCAAAACCATGTGGGCAGAGAGCTGTGGGACAGGTGTTACCCATGGCGCTCAGAGACACCGGCCTGGAGATAGATGACAGTATCTGACTGAACCGAGAGTCACAAGCCCCAGGACAGGCTCACGATAGGCGAGCAGATCGCAATCGTGCCAGCCTAAGATACGGAGATGGTGCAGCGCCCCCGACCCCAGGCAGACCTCGGCGTGCTTAACCAGGAGCTCCCTGCCATTCCTGTCAGTGCTGGAGACAGGTGAGAGCCGGCACTCACCACTGCAGCGTCTATGGGCAAGCTTGGCGGCCCAGTCCCCACACTCTGTCCACCCGTCTGGGGCTGAGCAGGGAACTCACCCGATACAACAGAGAGCCCCTCCCAGTAAACAAAGATCAAACATATACCCATCAGAAAGTAAATTCAAAAATAAGAAATGACAGCTTCTCCAGATGAGAAGGAACCAGTGTAAGAGCTCTGGCAGTATGAGAAAACAGAATGTTTCGTGACCCCAAAGGATCATACTGGCTCTCCAGCAATTCTACCCTAGCTCATTCCACCCTTCAGCTGCAGAATATACATTCTTTTCATCAGCACATGGAACATTTTCCAAGACAGACCATATATCCCAACCAAAATGGATATTCTGAAATGACATATAAAGAATTAAAAATATGGATTGTAAAGAAACTCAATGAGATACAATAAAAAGTTGAAATTCAATGCAGAGAAACCAGGAAAATAATTCAGGATACAAATGAAAAATTTACCGAAGACATAGATTTAAAAAAAAAAAAAAAAAACCAAACAGAACTTCTGATAATGAAAGCCTCATTGAAAGAATTATAAAATGCTGTTGAAACTTCAAGCAATAGAATTGACCAAGTATGAAGAAAGAATTTCAGAGCTTGAAGACAGGTCTTTCGAATTAACCCAGTCAGACAAAAATAAAGAAAAAATAACTTTTCAAAAATGCACATAGCCTTCAAGAAATATGGGACTATGGGAAGTGTCCAAGCCTATGAGTCATAGGTATTCCTGAGGGAGAAGAGAAAAAAAAGTGTGTGAAATGTATTTCAGGAAAAATTGAGGAAAACTTCCCTGGTCTTACAAGAGTTTTAGATATTGAGATACAAGAGGCTCAGCAAACACTACAGAGATACATTGCATGAAGGTCTTCACCAGGCATATAGTCATCAGACTATCTAACGTCAACGCGAAGGAAAAAATTTTAAAAGCAGTAAGACAAAAATACCTAACTACCTACAAAGGAAAGCCCATCAGACTAACGCAGACTTCCCAGCAGGAACCTTACAAATCGGGACAGATTGGGGTCTTATTTTCAATAATTTCAAAGGAAAGAACTGTCAGCCCTGAAGTTTATATTCTGCTAAATTAAGCTTCATAAATGAAGGAGAAATAAGTCTTTCCCAGACAAGCAAATACTAAGGTAATTTGTCACCACTAGACTGGAAGAGAAGATTCCAATGAGCTCAATCAGAAATGAAAAGAGATATTACAACTGAAACCACAGAAATATTAATATAAAAGACCATCCAAGACCACTATGAACATCTCTTTGTAACTAGAAAACCTAGGCAATGTATAAATTCCTGGAAAAATACAACCTTCCAAGGTCAAATTAGGAAGAAATAAAAATCCTGACCAGACCAATAACAAGTAGTAACATTAAATCCATAATAAAAAATCTCTCAATGAAAAAAAAAGCCCAAGACCAGACAGATTCACAGCTGAATTATATCAGATATACAAAGCAGAACTGGTACCAATCCTACTGAAACTTTTCAAAAAGATCAAGAAGGAGGGAATCCTTCCTAATTCATTCTATGAAGCCAGTATCACCTTGATACCAAAGACAGGAAAGGATGCAACAACAACAAAAAAAGAAAACAGTAGATCAATATCCCTGAAGAACATAGATCCAAAAATCCTCAACAAAATACTAGCAAACCAGGCCAAGCACGGTGGCTCACGCCTATAATCCTAGCTCTCTGGGAGGCCGAGGCGGGAGGATTGTTTGAGCTCAGGAGTTCGAAACCAGCCTGAGCAAGAGCGAGACCCCGTCTCTGCTAAAAATAGAAAGAAATTAATTGGACAGCCTAAAATATATAGAAAAAATTAGCCGGGCATGCTGGCGCATGCCTGAAGTCCCACCTACTCGGGAGGCTGAGGCAGGAGGATCACTTGAGCCCAGGAGTTTGAGGTTGCTGTGAGCGAGGATGATGCCACGGTACTCTAGCCTGGGCAACACAGAGAGACTCTGTCTCAAAAAAAAAAAAAAAATACTAGCAAACCAAATCCAACAGCACAAGAAAAATAATGGTGCTGAGGCAATTGGATAGTCATATGAGAAAAATGAAACTAGATTCCTATCTCTCACCACATACAAAAATTAACTCGAGATGGATTAAAGCTTAAATATAAGACCTGAAACCATAGAAATTCTAGAAGAAAACCCAGGAAAAATTCTTCTGGACATTGGCCTAGGCAAATAATTTATGACTAAGTCCTCAAAAGGAAATGCAACAAAAACAACAAAAAAAATGGGACTTAATTATACTAAAAAGCTTCTACACAGCAAAAGAAATAATCAACAGAGTAAATAGACTACCTACGGAATGGGAGAAAATATTCACAAAGTACGTATCCAGCAAAGTACTAATATCCAGAATCAAAAAGGAATTCAAACAACACAGCAAGAAAAAAATAAAAAAAAAAACCCAATAAAAAGTGGGCAAATAACATGAACAGACATTTTTCAAAAGAAGATATACAAATGGCCAGCAAACATATGAAAAAATGTTCAACATCACCAATCATCAGAGAAATGCAAATTAAAACCTCAATGAGATACTATCTTAATCCAGTTAGAATGGCCATTATTAATAAGTCAAAAAACAATAGCTGTTGGCATAGATGTGATGAAAAGGGAACTCTTATACACTATTGGTGGGAATGTAAATTGGTATAATTTCTATGGAAAACAGTAAGTATAGAGACTTTTCAAAGAACCAAAAGCAGATCTACCATTTGATCCTGCAGTCCCACTACTGGTTATCTACCCAAAGAAAAAGAATTCATATCGAAAAGATACCTGCACTCATATGTTTATCTCAGCCACAATTCATGACATCAAAGATATGGAATCAACCCAAGTGTCCATCAACTGATGAGTGAATAAAGAAAATGTAGTGTGTACACACACACACACACACACACACACACACACACACACACACATCATGGAATACTACTCAGTCATAAAAAAGAATGGAATAATGTCATTATCCTAAGTGAAGTAACTCAGGAATGGAAAATCAAATACTGCCTGTTCTCACTTATGAGTAGGAGCTAAGCTATGGGTACACATGGTCTCACAGAGTGGAATAATGGAATTAGAGACCCCAAAGTGGGGAGGGAGGAAGGGGGTGAGGGATGAAAAGTTACACCAAGGTACACACTTTAGGTGATGGGTACATTAAAAGCCCATATTTCAGCACTATACAATATATCTATGCAACAGAACTCCACTCGTACCCCCTAAATCTGTTGAAATAAAAATATATTTATACAAATAGATAATAGAAAAGAGAAGAACAGAGGGGGAGCAGAAGAGAACAGGAAGAGCCCTTGTCAACATTAGGCAGAGAAGGAGATAGATATAAAGGGAGTTTACAGAATACACAGAGGACAGTGCTTGGCACATACCAGGGATGTCATTAATGTTAATTTAGTCTCCCTCTCCTCCTTTCTGTGTCCTTGGTCCTTCTAAGGACCAGCACATAGTACTCTCAAATTATTTTGGTCTTGCCTATTTCAAAGAAAATTTAGAGGATCAATTAATTTATACTAAAATGTGAAAGACTTCTCATGTTTGCCCTCCATGAAAAATTTGTATTTTAAAGGGAGATCTTGAAGAGGACAGTTTTTAACCAAGAAAATGGTGGGGCACCCGGCCAAGCTTCTATCTGTAGGCCCTGAGAGTCTGGCAGCCAGCCTGCCTGCCTAGCCTGGGCAAGGCTACCTTTGACACCACCAGGTTGATCTTGTGCAATGCTGGGCTCAGGCTGTGCTCTTTGTCCTCTGGCCTGAGGGCATGTAGAGGCGGCTGAGCCCTGGTCATCCCCTCAGAAGCATGCCTGTTCCTCTCCAGCTCCAGTGCCCCATTGACAATCCCAGGGCAGGTCTGTCGCCATGACAAGGTAGCGTCCTCCAAAACCAGAGCTTTGCTAGGGTCTTGCAGTTCCTGGACATAGGAAACAGGACTCTCCTGGAGGAAAAATTTCTGTAAAGACAAAAAGAAAGAGAAGGGAAAGGAATTCAGTTCTTTAGTTCAGCAGCAACGTGCACCCAATTTTACTGGCCGGCCAGTTGGCATGGTTTAATGAGCTAAGTTTCTGCTAGTAAAAATTCTAGATCAGTGTTTTCCAAATTTCAGACCCCTAGGCCACACGTCCACATCTGCATACCACCTGCACCGTCAGTTGACTGAGACCTAACCTGCATTAGCCCCATCCCAAGTGATAACAGCTGTTGACTCCTAGGATTGATGTTTTTCTAATTAAATTTCATTTGTGGCTATTGAAAATAAAAAGGTCTGCCTGTGTCCCACACGGGGGAAATGTCGTGTGGGTCATGCATCTCAAAACATGACTATTGGCAGGTCACTTCTCCGCATCTCCAGCTCCCTGTCTATAAAACACAGGGGTTGAACTACATGAATTCTAGCAAAAAGGGTGGGTGGGGAATATGGTCCCACTGAAGTCAAGTTGTGTTCACATGTCCCCACCTGGAGAAAGGCTTACAAAGAGATCTAGAAGGATACTTATTGACATTTTGGACATCATTACCCATCCTTCCGAGCCCTGATTGTAGCTTCCTCATCTCTGCCCACTCCACGGGTGAAAACAGGCACAGAGGGAGAGAATGGGGGGAAAGCCCAGCGTGCCCACAGGGGACGGCAGCAGCTGCTGAGAAGTTAAGGAAGCACCCAGGGCTGTTGACAAAGAGCTGTCTTTGTGTGACCCAGACAAGCCAAGTTCATTCCAGCCTCCGGGCTGTTGCACTTGCAGCTCCTTCTGCCTAGTCATCATCGCTCAGCTCAAAAGTCACTTCCGCCCAGGTGTCTTCCCTGACCAGCCTGTCCACAGTAGCCCCCAGCCCTCCCCAGAACATGCTCCAGAACATCACACTGTTTCATTGGTATCGTAGCTCTTCACGTGATATGATATAATCCTCTTTGATCATTAATTTACTTGTTAATTGTCTGTTTCCACTACCAGATCAGAACTCCCTGAGAGCAGGGACCCTGCTGGTCATGCTCAGTGGAGTAGTCTCTGTACCTGGCATGTGCTAGGTGCTCAATAAATATTTTTTGAATAAATGAGTGAATGAATGATATAAGTTGAGGACTGCATGTATTAAAATGGGATGACTATAAAATGGCTTTTTAAAAATTGGTTTGGATTAGGGTTTTCATATTCAGATGCCTGTTGGGGCAAGACCAGCTATATAAATAAGTGAAGTAGACCATTTCTAAGACGATAAATGGTAGTCAAATGCAGCCGCAGGGTTGGAGGCATGATAGGGCATGGTGAGGTCTACAGCGACCTGTATCTAAATGCCCCATCTAAACAGGGCAGCTGTCACCTCTGCTCCAGCCACTTGTGGTCATGGGAGAATGTGGTCCAGTGTCACCAGATCTTCTGATTATTCAAGAGAATTCAGAAATCTCAGTTTCCATATAAAATATCCAGGTTTTTTAAATGCTAGCAACAGATACAATTTTTTTAAAAACCAAAACTATGTGGGTAACCCTACACAAACCTGGATACAGTCTGCAGACCTCCTGCCCGAGACCTAGCTTGGATACGTCATCCTAAGACCTCTTTGGGCGCTGTGATGCAGTGTGATGCATCTGCCTTCCAGCCCCCACACCAGCCTAGGCACAGGAGGGCACCGAGCTAGCTAATCCCTCTCTCTACCTGGGCTGGCTCTGCCTTGGACAAGGGACACCTTCGGGAGAAAGAGCACGAGGGCTGAAGGCAAACGAGCGCCCAACAGAGGGCCGTGCCGTCAGCCCCTGACCACTTACCTTGAACCTCTCCACCGCAGACTTGGAATTCGTGAGGCCTTTGATTGCAAAGGGCCCATAGAACACTGCCAGCCGAAGGGGATTCAAGGTCGCTATTGCAGTGAAGGCCTGGATGAGGAGGCAGAGGAGGCAGTATGGGTTGCAGCCCTTCCTGCTTCCTCCATTCCTTGGGGGCCCCTATCCCAGAGCCCCAAGCCACAGAGCCACCTTGCAGCTTCCAACAAGCAGCTCCTTCATTTGGAGAAGGCTGAGCTGGTGTTGGGGAGACTGGCAAGAGTGGGGGAAAGAGCACTTTCAGACTTCTCAAGGTGGTTTCTCTGGTGCGTGCATGAGCCAAGCAGAGGCGACAGCTGTCTGGAGCACACACAGGCCCCTGGCTATGGATGCTCAAATGCTCTCAAATGCTCCCCTTCTTGCTTGGGGTGCACTCTCCCAGCCTCCTCAGTGGGATCACTACCTCCCCAAGAGTGGCACTCTCGTATTTTGCTCACAGAATCAGGATTCCTAACCCTGGAAGACAGCCGCTGCTTCTCAGAGCCAGGGTCAGACCACGGAGGAAAAGACCGAAGGAGCTACACCTTTTTATTTAAGGCGCGCTTCCAGGGCCCTTATCTGGAAATCAGACAAAGTCCTCCATTCGAGATTCTCAACCTCAAGGTGTACATCAGAATTGTCACACACCACCTCCCCCCTCCACCCCCAGATGATTCTGCTGTCCCTCCCCCCCCATAGCTGCTACCCAAGATGTCACTTTCTCAGATGTGTTGAGATGGAAGAGACCTAGAACACTCAAAAGGGCTGGAAAATCAAAAGCAATTTATAGGATCGTTTGCAAAGCCTCCTAGCCTCTTGTGGGGCATGGGCTAGGAAAGGACACATGAGAAAACAGGGGAGAAAACAAAGCACCCCAAAGACGTACTGATGAAACCGTGAGTTTCCTTCCTAGGAATACGTGGATGAGGATCATGACTGCCGAGGCCACAGTCGGGGCGATGAACAAGTTGGTCGTGGTCAGGCTCTGGAGCAGCCCGTTCCTCTCCAGCAGCGTCTTTTCCTTGCTTCTCAGGTCTAGAAGGGAAAAAAGAAATACACCAAAGATAACCACAAGAACACCCTCCAGAGCACAGCACAATCCCCAAAGCAAGAAAGAAATCCTCAAGCGGTGAAAGGCTTGGCCCAGCAGGATATCACCAGGCTCTGAGCAGAAAGGCGGACTTCTTATACCTTCAATTATTTTTGCAAATGGTTTCTCCCAGGTGTACATTTTAATCAGCTTGATGCAAGTAAGAAGTTCACTGGTCACACGGATGCGCTGGTCACTGACCTCAGACATGTGGCGCTGCGTCTTCAGGAGCACTTTGGTCATGAGCACCTGCAGTTGGGACGCAGGAGTTTGCTGGTGTGCAGGGGATTCCTTTGACAAGGGTCGGGGGGGTTCAGCCCGGCACAGCAGGACAACTAGGAGTATTTCCAAAGGCAACCTCCAGGTGTGGACTGAATGCCAGGTTTAATTCTGCGCTGACTAAATGCACTGTGACTCTGAGTCCCAGGCCCCTGCTGAGGGTTTTCCAGTGGAAGCTCTCGGGCCATCGTGCCTTGGGGCATCGGGGGCCCTTCTCTCCTAAGTTCCAAGCCAGCTGTGGCTAACTAAACTGAAACTAAACAGAAAAGGCTCCTCTGCCTTCTGGAACCCTAAACCCCCTAACAATTACAATCACCTTTTGATCATGGTGATTGTGTTCAGGGAAGAAAACATTTAATTTCCATAATTCAGAGCACACATAATCCAAGAGTCACTTCTGTATTGCCCAATTTTAACTCACCTATTTCTTTGGCAGCAAATTTGCTTCCCTTTCCCCATTATATTGTGCTCAGCCAAATGGCAAACACCACGTGCATTATTACATCAGCATGTTCCGGGTAGAAGAAATGGAACAGAAATCTTGCAGAGATTATTTACCGAGGAAAATCAGCGAAGCAGATAATCTCCCATAGAAACCTACAAAGTAGACCTCGCACGTAACACTCAGCCCTTACTTAGTAATCGAGCGTTGCGGCCGGAGAACAGTTTCGCGGGGGGGGCGGGGGCTGAGCTGCATCTGAACCGCGCGGAATGGACCGCCGGCGACAGGCAGCTTTCCCGCTCGGGTATCTCAGGGCGCAGGGCCCCGGGCGTTCTGGGGAACGTTCAGCGTCAGATGGGCGGCAAAGAAAGACGTTACCTCCAGGGGGAAAATCAGGAGATAGCAGAGAATGGCGATGAGCGCAGTGGGCCCAAGAACGAGGCAGATGGAAATGGTGCAGGCGATCAGGGACACGGCGGCGAACAGCGCCAGGGGGCCGTAGTACACGCCTTCAAACAGGTAGTTGAGGTCGCTGGTGAAGAAGTTGATGGCCTGTAAGACAGCAAGCCTGTGGGCACAGGTGTCGCCTCCCCGGTGCCCAGAACGCTCCCCAGCAGGAAGCCTTGGCGTCAGGGTGGGGGAGGAGAGGACACCTCGGGTTCACCGTGTCTTTTGACGGCTGCGTGGCCCTCGGGGAGCTACTGCTCTGAGCTTCAGCTTCCCCTTCTGTGAAGGAGATAATTACACGGTTTCTGTGAGAATTTCAGCGAGATGTGAAGTGGCTGCACACACAGAATGTACTCAATAAAAGTATTATACTAACACTGTTTCTACTGCTACTAATATCCAGATTCCAAAGAATTGCTTTAGTTCCACTATTCTGTTCTGTTCTGTTGTATTCGACTACTACTAATAATATTAGCTGAATTTTCTAGGTAGGGGCTGAATTATCTTCTTTCTCCTTCTTTTTCTTCTTTTTTGCCATAGATTCTTCTGCCTACTTTCCTTCCCCAACATACACTGCCAAGTTCAAAGCTAGATAAAAACTAACATTCCAAATCAAGACATCTTTAAGGAACCAATTCATTAATATCTTTCATAATTACCAATCTGAATCCCTTGAGAAATGATTGTCTTTTAACTTTAATCTAATCTCCTTCCAGTTCCCAGGATGTACCCTAGCCCAAGCCTTTAAAACTTTTTAAAGTGTATCAGGCTGCATAAGTTGGTATAGGCACTTTGGAGGGCAATTTAAAAGTGTCTTTTAAAATTAAATATTGCACAACCCAAGACCTGGCAATTTCATTTCTCTGTTGAGAAACAGTCCCACGTGTTGGAGGAAACACACAGATGTTCATTGCAACACTGCTTATAACAGCCAAAGCCTGGAAGCATCCCGAATGTTCGTTGGTGGGGAAAAGTGAAGAAGCCCACTCCAAAAGTATTAGGTAATATTGAGTCCTGGAGCTAAACTGCCAGCACTCATGTTCCGGACTTGTCATTTATTAACTGTGGAACCACAGACAAGAAACTCAGTCTCTCCAACCCTTTGTCACCCCAGCAGTGAAATGGGAAAATAACACAACCTACTTCATTCTGTTGTTTGAGAACTGTGTAGATAAGCTCATAAAGTACTTTATTTCGGCACACTGAAAGTACTACAGTTATGATTAAGTATTACTGAAAAGGAGTAAGGACAATCTGTGTGTGCTAACGTGAAAAGCTGAGTCATGATGAGGAGGGGAAAAGCTATAAAACAACATGCATTATGTAATCCACTGATATAAAAATTCCCCCCAAAAGCCATATTGTACATTTTTCTATTCATAAAACTAAGTTGCAGAACACTATGTAAAATGTAGTACCATGTAAAAATACACACACAAAAAATATAATATATTTTCTATGGGTAACTTGCATGTGTACCTGAATGTACTTTATATCTTTTTTTTTTTTTTTTTAGGACAGAGTCTCACTCTGTTGCCTGGGCTAGAGTGAGTGCCGTGGCGTCAGCCTAGCTCACAGCAACCTCAAACTCCTGGGCTCAAGCGATCCTCCTGTCTCAGCCTCCCAGGTAGCTGGGACTACAGGCATGCGCCACCATGCCCGGCTAATTTTTTCTATATATTTTTAGCTGTTCAATTAGTTTCTTTCTATTTTTTTGGTAGAGATGGGGTCTCGCTCTTGCTCAGGCTGGTCTCGAACTCCTGAGCTCAAACGTTCCACCTGCCTCGGCCTCCCAGAGTGCTAGGATTACAGGCGTGAGCCACCGCGCCCGGCCCCTGAATGTACTTTAAAAGGTCTGGAGGGACACAAACCAAACTGGTAACAGTGTTAGCCTCTGGGCATAAGGGAAGTGACTAGGTCTAAAACATTGTCTATACTATTTTATTTTGTTTCCAAGAAGAATGAATGTATTCAGCTAATGTATTAAAGCTAATTTTAAAATAAAATTTATGGAAACAACTGTCTAGAAATCCTCATTTGAGTAATTGTTTCCATCTCCATTTTCAAATGGGGCCTTTTGTTGTATGCTTCTTTGAAGATGTTCGGGGCAGTTGGCCCTTGTGTATAGCAGGTGCTCAGAACAGAGTCACATAGAAAAGGTACCAAGACAGGCCTCAGCACAGGTAAGTGGTTAAGGGCCTGGACTCGGCAGCCAGGACAACCGTGTTAAAATCCAGGCTCTGGTGGCCAGGTGTGGTGGCTCACACTTGTGATCCTAGGACTCTGGGAGGCCAAGGTGGGAGGATTGATTGAGCCCGGGAGTTTGACGTTGCTGTGAGCTAGGCTGATGCCACGGCATTTGAGCCCAGGTGACAGAGCAAGACTCTGTCTCAAAAAAAAAAAATCCAGGCTCTGGCACTTACCAATCAAGTGGCCTCATACAAGTTACCCACCCTTTCCTTGCCTCAGTTTCCTCCTCTGTGACATAGAAATGATAACAGAACTTACCACACAAGAGGGATGTCAGAGGACTGACCAGGCCAAAGTAAGCAAAGCCCTTGTGACAATGTCTGGCTAAGAGCGAGTGAGGGGTTACGATGACCTTCCTGACATAAAGAGGGAGAAGGGCTGCCTGGATCCTTTAGCTGCCATGGCAGGAGGACAGGGCAGCCTCCGCGCGCGCGGGCCTAACAGAAACGCATAATAATTGTGCGGTTTAACACTCAAGAGCAGCTGCCCCCTTTCTACATGCTCGATAGGCATGGACTCATTGAATCCCGTGAGATGACACCCTGCGGGTTGGTTTTATTATTATTCCACAGCTTCAGGGAGGCCAAACAAGTCACCTAAGGCTGTGGGACCAATAAAATGGTGACGAATGTTAATACAACGATGGTTACAGCAGTACCTAATGTTCGTTAGCACTCGCGTTTCAGGAAAGCTGCTATTCCATGGCAATGGTTAAGCCAGCAGACGCTCTTTGGGCATCTGCCCTGCGTAATTCGGGTGCTGGGCCTTTGGAGGAGTACAGTGGTGAATTTGAATTGGCTTCTGTCTTTGAAGAGGGCTCATGTTAGTGAGACAGCCATATCCATGCCGGGAAAACCTACAAATGCTTAGTGGGGAGCGGTGGTCCAGGGTGGGGTTGGAGACCCCATCATGGCGGAGAGGCATCTGCACTGGGCCTTGAAGGATGGGGGGCTTCTTAAAGGGCAGGGAGTGGGGGTGAGGTGAGCAAAGTCACCAGGAGGTGGACACGTCTAGTATATTTGGGGACTTAAAGTGAGCATAGCCTAGAGTGAAGGGGGGGGGGCAGCCTAGGGCTAGAGGAGAGGATATGGGAAGAGAGGAGGCTGGAAAGGGGCTAATGGCAGATCACAGAGGGCTTTGGCTTCAGGGCAAGGAACCAAAGCAAAGCTGCCTTTTCTAAAAAACAAAATGTCAGTTTCAATATAAAAACTATAAAAAATATATGTAAAATCCATCCCCTCAAGGTAATTGGTGAGCAATAGAAAAATTTTAAAATGGAAATTTAACATATAAAATTCCAATATCCCCCATGACTATAGGTCATAAGTTAAGATTACCTTCCTCCAGCCTCTGTCAATGTTTGTTATGTTGTAAGGAGAGCAAGAGTGAGAACTGACAGTAACAATTGCCAGGCAGGTGAAAGTATTCCTCTTTTGCAGATAAGAAAATGCAAACTCAGAGAGATCATCTACGATGGCTGTCCCCAGAAGATTTCCCGAAGCCATCAAGTCCTCCCATACCCTCGCCCCCAGGTTGGCGTACTGGGTACGCTTTCCAGTGTGCTTCTACTTGGGATTTCTATCTTTTTGTTCAGGGCCGTATCCCCAGGGCTTAGAAGAGAATCTGGCCCAGAATCGGCCTTAGTAACTATTTGTGGAGTGAATAAATAAGCCTCTCTAACCGTCTGCATGTAAGTGGCGTCTCCCTGGGTTATGGTGGACCTGCTTTCATGGCCCAGAGGCAACTGTTGATGGTTATCAACACTCAACCCAAGAAGTCTTTTCTTTGTCTTTCTTCCTCCTTTCCTAACCCTCTTTTGTCCCTCTCTTGGTGCCCAGGCAGTGATGTCTGGAGAGGGGTGGGGAAGTATGGTCTGGGATAGGCAGTCCCAGACACTTACCTCTCCCGAGGTGATGTGTGTTAGAGACTTAAATTGTATGAGCTTCTCAAAGGCAAAGGAGGAAATGGCCCCACGAAACCTGATGCCCGTGCGCTGGTTGATGATCCAGCTTGAGCAAAGACTCACAGACTTCAGACACTCAGAGAGAAAAAGGGCAAGGCACAGTCCCACTCCACGGGGGACGTCCCCTGACCGCTCTTCGGAGTAGTCTAGAATCCTTGGTATAATCAGCACCTGAAAGGAAACAGGAGTTTGGATCATTCAGATTATGTTTGATATTTGTTGCCTGAAAGGAGGATTGGGAGGTCTGGGTTAATGTTGGGGAATTGCCGAAGGATCGAAATTGACTCAAGCACAATCCTGACCCCGAGAAGGTCAAGGTCCACTTGGAGGAGACTTGGGAGTTCAGCTGACCCAGGTGTGAAACCCAGCTCTGCCACCTATGAGCAGGCGCTGACAGGAAACAGGAGGCACGCAAACTGGGAAACGGAGGAGTTGACACAGTGGCTCTTTACAACGGTGTGCGCAGAATTTAGGAAGTCCAACGAGGAATGGTGGAACACCATGGAGCTAGTGACAGCAGGGAACTGTTTCCTCCCCAGACCCAAGGGGTGAGGGGAGGGTTAGGTTCGTGGGACCCCAAAGGGGGGTCATGCAGAGAGGGCCCCAGCCAGGAGCTCGGCCCCCAAGCTCCAGTGACAGGGAGAGAGGCAGCCCAGGCAGCAAATATCCTGACTTATTCTTGTCCCTCCCTCCAGTCCTCTGTTAGAATCTCCCGCTGGTCAAACCCGACCACTCAGGGAGGCCCCAGTCACATGATCCACACTGGGACACAGGGCAGGGTGGAAGGTGGTGAGAACGATTTGGAGGGATGGATAGAAAATGCCCAGCACCCAGCTGTCACCAAATGCAGTCACCTCTGTGGTGTCATCGACTGCTGTTTCTTCCTGACCTACGTCCATGCTCCCCTTAGCTGGTAATAGTGCCTCAGTTTTCTTTTGGGGAGACGCTCACCTCCCCCACTACATGCAATCTAGGCCGGATTGTCCATCAAAGTACCCCACCCTTCTCTGGGCAACCAGTGGGCATGTGACCCCAGCTGGCCAATCAGCTCCTCTCTGAAATCAGAATCTTGGGCTTAGAAACTGGAGTTGAGGAAACAGAGACCATTCATCCCAACCGTGGCACATGGAGGAGACCGTCAGTTCCTGCTGCCTACGTTCCCAGAGCTGCTCAGCCGTGTCCCCAAGGCGCCAACATGGACTGAGCTAGGCCACGTTCTAAGTGCTTTATATACTATTTCATTTAATGTCGCCCTATGAGGCAGGTAGGATTATGTTCTCCATTTTATACAGGAGGGTTTCCATAATGTCTACCCCTAAAGGTGTTATGGGGTTCCATGAGAAAACCAAGGCACAGAAAGGGTGATTAAATTGCCCAAAGCCACCCAGCAATGAAGTGGCAGGGCCACAGTTTGAACCCAAGCAGTGACTCCAGAGCTCACACTCCTAGCTACTCTGCTTTACTATCTTGAAAAGGTCTTCATTTTCTGGACACTAGCGGAGAGACAAAGACATCCCCAACTCCTGGCCTGGGCTGGAACATGCCCCCGGTTCAACTTCTAATTCTGTAAAGCCTGGAGTCCCCCAAACCTCACCACGTCTGCCACTTACTGGCCCCAGGACACCCATGATCGACAAGCAGCAGCTCGCAAGCAGATTGAAAATAATCCTTGTTCTCTGGAACCTCAGCATCACTCGAAACACTGAAGCCTTTTCAATCCCACGCCTTGAGACTTCTTCTTCCCAAAGGTGGCGAAGCCTTGAAAAGAGGAAAATTGAACCAAGTGAAATCTCTTGGCATGTGTCACCCAAAAGTCCTAGTTCTTGCCAGCCGGGAGCTTTGTTGTAGAAATTTGAAAGCATAACAAAAATAGAACAACATAGCAATCCCCCATATTCTAGAATTAACAACATTTTGACATTTTTGTTTCATCTTTCCTCCCTCTACTTTTTTTTTCCTGAAGGATTTAAAGCAAATCTCAGACATCGTATCATTTCCTCTGCGAATGCTTCAGTATGCATCTCTTCCAGCAAAGGCCTTCTTTTTAAAACCATAGTAACAATGACAGAACAGTAACAATAATTACTTAATGGCATGTAATGCCCATCTGTATTCAAATTTCTCTAATTACTAAAAAATAGGTTTTTACAGTTAGTGCGTCTGAATCAAGATCCAAAGTCTACATTTAAAGGACAAATTTGACAGGCTTCCTGAGTCTCATTTGAACCTGTAAGAGTTTGCCTTCATCTGCATCTCTGCGTCATTGATTTGTTGAAGAAACTGAGTTATTTATCCTGTAGAATTTCCCACATTCTGGATTGGACTGATTGCATCTCCGTGGTATCATCTAACATAATCCTCTGTCTTCCAAAGTTTCTAATAGGTAGTTAGACCTAGAGGCTTAATGAAATCCAGAATTCAAGCAATGTGGCAAAAACAGTTAGTAGGTGATGTGGTCTATTCCCTGCGGCCTCACATCAGAAGCCACGCAAGGTCTGGCATCCCGCTCTTAGCAACGTCAAGGTAGATCAGTGTGCCAGGTGTGTCAGCCTGACCTGCTCGTTACCAAGTCCCCCGTCATTAATGACTATTGCCTAGAGCCACGTCCACTAGTGCTGGAAACAGGATTTTTCCAATTCTATCATTACTTTTGTATTTAGTGGCTTGAATTGGTCTATAAAAAATAATTCCCTCACTATTTTATTGCTCTGAAATACAGTTAGCCTGGGAAATAGCCCAGGACTTTAATAATGTCACTCTTCTTTGTGAGTTAAGATTCATAAAACCCAGAACTTTGACTTCCAAAAAGTGCCTTCAATTATTTCAAAGTCCCCAAAAGTGTGCCCCAGGGTTGGATCACCCAATTAAAAGTATATCCTTATTGTGAAATTCCAAGCTAATCATGCCTAGGATGTTTGTGTTATACCAGCAAAATAGAAACAAAAACATTTTTTTAAAAAAATGTGGTATACAGTATAGTATTTCAAAATAGCATCAAAGAAGTTATCACGGAAAAATCAAAGATGTATTGACTTTCCTATACTTTTTAATTTTGAATTATATTTGAGACAGGGGCAGGGGACTGGACAATGGTCACTGTGATGCTTTCGGCTTCCAGAAGTCTTACTCTGGCCCTCGGTTGTTTCCTGTGCGTCCACAATCCAGGCTGCCCATTGCAGTCACCGTGCGGCATCTGCCCTTTTACCTCTGGCTCCTGTTCCCATATGTCTAGCACGTCCATCTGGAAAGCAGCCTCCATTGCTCGTGGAGGGAACATCAAGGACTCTGTCAAAGGGCTCCAGGTGTCCCTGAAGCTTCAGCTCCGTACAGAGCAAGGCCATGGTGGGCAGAACAGCCTCCCTTGCTGCACCGCCTTTTGTCACCAGGGCCTGACAGCATCACTGCTTGTGCACGATCTCAGCTCCATCGGCTTCTGGCTCTCACCCCTGCCCAGAATTTCACCAAGTGTCTAATGGCAAACAGTTCTAGCCTTTTCTACACTTTACTACTCCAGCCTTGTATACTCATGCCCAACCTGAAACCTAAAGGGAAGAAACATCTTGAGAATCTTTTTGTCCTACATTTCTTCACCTGCAATCAAAACGCCAGGCTCTGTCTTCCTGAGTTATAAAACAACCACTCGCATTCCATGCCCACCAATGGACGCACCAGATACCTTGGAGGGTCTGGGTCCTAGCTCAGCAAAGCAAAAATATCCCTATGACATCCGTGTGTTAGAGGATTTTCTTGCTCATGGATGATATTACTCAGGCCAAATCATGGGGCTACCTCTCCTCATTCCAGCTCTACCCCTGCACATACACAATCCACAGAGACAACAAGCTCTAGAGTTGTTTCTGCCTTGACCAAATGAATCCAAGTTTTCCATAGCCTGCCAATAACTCTCCTAGCAACTCTATCAATTTCTGGCTGTGATCACCAGACTCAGAATCAAAAGACTTGGTTTCAAATTGTATCTCCTCCACTCATTAGCTCTGTGACTCCGGAAACATCATTTCATGTCTCTTAGTCCTCAGTTTCTCATCTGTAAAATGGGTAAAATAATCTTTTCCCTGTTTATTTCATAACCCTATTGTGATGATAAGAGGAGATCAATAGATGGTGAAATGCTCTGTAATTGCAGAACAATAAAAATATGAAGGATTATGATGGTAATTATAATAAAGATGATGGTGATACTGTTGGTGGTGGTGGTGCTGGAGGTGGTGGTGATGGTGATGTTGATGGTGGTGGTGCTGGTGGTGGTGATGATGGTGGTGGTGGTGCTGGTGGTGGTGGTGCTGGTGGTGGTGATGATGGTGGTGGTGATGATGGTGGTGGTGGTGCTGGTGGTGGTGGTGCTGGTGGTGGTGATGGTGGTGGTGGTGGTGATGGTGGGGGTGCTGGTGGTGGTGGTGCTGGTGGTGGTGATGGTGGTGGTGGTGGTGGTGGTGGTGGTGCTGGAGGTGGTAGTGGTGGTGCTGGTGGTGATGGTGGTGGTGGTGGTGATGGTGGTGGTGGTGGTGGTGGTGGTGGTGGTGATGGTGGTGGTGGTGGTGGTGGTGGTGGTGGTGGTGGTGGTGGTGGTGCTGGTGGTGGTGGTGGTGCTGGTGGTGGTGGTGGTAGTGCTGGAGGTGGTAGTGGTGGTGTTGGTGGTGCTGGTGGTGCTGGTGGTGGTGGTAGTGCTGGAGGTGGTAGTGGTGGTGCTGGTGGTGGTGGTGGTAGTGCTGGAGGTGGTAGTGGTGGTGCTGGTGGTGGTGGTGGTGGTGGTGGTGGTAGTGCTGGGGGTGGTAGTGGTGGTGCTGGTGATGCTGGTGGTCGTGGTGCCAGTGCTGGTGCTGGTGGAGAGGATGCTTCGCAGTTTGTTGGCAAATCCTCAAAGAAGCCAGAGTAGTTCTTCTGAAGGATCAGGGAAGATGCATCCCAGAGCTGTTTGTTAAATGGTGAACATATAGAAGAAAAAAAAACCCTCTTCTCTAAAAGGGTGAATGTGTGAATAATTGTTTTTTTCAAATAAATATCCAAAAATGGAGTGATTGCAAAAGTGTTGGTGGACAGACATTGTGAGTAATGACATAAAAAAGGCAGAATTGGTGAACTAGAAGTGAACGAAGCAGATCAACAGATCTTGTAGTCACAATGGTCAGAGAAGAACAGGCAAACTGACATTTCACCGGTTGCCTGTTGTGCATCAGGCACCTTTCCAGGTACTGTAAACAGAATTTATCACCTCTTTTGTTTCTTACAACAATCCTATGAAGGACCATGAAATAGATTTTATGATCACTACTTCATACATAAAGACACAGGATCTGGAAAGGACAACTTGTCTGACATCATAGTCGGTGAGAGGGGTGAGATTTTTACCAATATCTGGCATTATCCTAAAGATGTTTCCTGGAACCATTTTTTTTCTTAGTGAATAAGACTGAGAAGGAATGGGTCAAATTTTAGCCAATTTCTGTATTTTATATTTTCTCAGTGCCTGAAATACACTAATTTGCCTTGTAAATCTCCAAGACCTGGATATAATATACAACATTTCACAAACTCCCCTGACCACCAAATTGCTCTTTTCAGGGAGGCTCTTATTGGATTATAATTTCCAAAACACATTTGGAAACTTTCATTTTCTACCTCATGTCTCTCATGAAGCAGCTAGAAGTAGGAACATGAATACAGGACATTTAAATAACATATTCATTTTTTTCACCATTTGATCCTCATATTACCTTGTGAAGTGGGTGGTACGAGAAAGTTAATCACAACTAGATGGTGGTGGCTTGAGGATCAGGAGACTGGGCCACGTTCCCAAATGTAATACTCAAGTAGCGCCACTGCTGAATGCCCGATCCAGGGGAGAAAACCAAAGGGACTCGAAGCGGTCATTTCTAACTTTCTTGGGCTCGTGCACTCTTCGGCCAATCCGATAAAAGATATGACTCCTTGCTCCAGAAAAAGATCGCCAGCCCATACGTACAAAACATGCTACCATTCCAGGAGATGCACACACCAAGTTGTCTGAGGCTGGACCCTCCCTGCCGCCCTGCAGCATCTCTGGTTACAGTCCCACCGAGAGATGGTCTTCAACCAATCCAGTGGCTTCCCAACACGACTTTACCTTTGGACATTTTTGGCCGAAGCATCATGAACTGACAGCAAAGGGATGGTGTTCTCATCTAGGCGATTCCGTAAGCCTTGGATCATGAGTGGGGTGAGCCACGACACTGTGAGGTAGGAGAACAGGCCAGCGTTGTCCACAGGGTTAGGGGCAGAAAACCTAGCAGAGAGGTCACAGACAGAAAAAAATAAAGAAGTCAAGCTCCAGATTTTGAAAAGATGAATTGTAATCATGTAAACTGTAAAAATCATAATGTGGTCATATAGATCTATACACAAATAATCTTTACATGACTTTATTATTTATAAGTTGAAAACCATAAACAACAAAAATACCCATTAACAGAGGAATTATTTAAATAGAAAGAGAGAGATTATGATAGACTCATACTATGGAATGCAAAGTAGAAGTTTTTTAAAACAGAGTTGATTTATTTGTAGAACATGGGAAAAGTTCCAAGCATCTTAAGCAAGAAAAATCAAGGCCCCTTGCAGATCAAAAAATTCAGTATTTTTTTTACTTGTGTAAAAAAAGGAAAAAAAGAAGGAAAGTAGACAAAACAATATGCATGTTTATGTCAAATTGTTAATTTGCCCTTTATATACTCGCAGCACCAGGACTGTGCGTGCTCGACAAGGCTGGCATATGCCCTTACCAGGGATGTTGGCGAGAGGAGGGAGCAAGGGTCGGGCAAGAGATTGTACGAATAGTGGTCATCTGTGATCCCGAAAGATAGGGTGAGAATCTATGAGCCAGTGCCAATAACCCAAAGGCCCAAAGGGAACAATGTGTTTATCTAAGATGAGGTTGCCCAGGTGAACTAAAGTACCAAGCTTCTTTGTTCTTGGTGGAGATAACATCAATTCAGCATGGTTACAATGCAGCTACTATGGATAGAAACTCAGGTTTTAAAAATGGGAAAACAGACGCAGTTCGTTGATAGATACAATCTTAGAAACACTTTGAAGAAAAGAGGGAATTGCAGATACAAAATGAACTCTTGGTGGTGAAACGCCGAAGAATCAGACTAGAAGCGCTAAGGTCTTGTCAAGAAACGACAAGAAAATGAACGCGGCGGGCTCGGAGGAGCGCGAGTCTGCGGCGGTGCCTGAAAGCAAGGCTGTGTTAAGCCAGGGAGCAGCTGGGGGCGATTACATTAAACTGTGATTCACTGGACGGTGTAAGCTGAATTTATTTAATTCTTAAATCTAAGGCTAGCATGACAGGGTTTCTAGCTCTTTCCAAGGCTGTCCGTTACCCTTAGAAGGAAGATTAACATCCTTAAGTGGCCTGTGGGGGCCCGCGTGCTCCCCGGGCGTCTGTCTGCCTCCACGGCCTCGTTTCATGCCCTGCCCGTCCCCACACAAGGCTGCAGCGACACTGGCCTCCTCCTCAGCCCCTGGATGCGTCACGTCCTGTCCCTTGCACGTGGCGGGCCTCTGCCCAGGCCGTCGCCATGCCCCAGTCGTTCTTCCCGACTCCTCTTGCCCACTCCCTTCTGGCTCGTCCTCTAGGCCTCGCTCAGTTTAAGTCACGCAGAACCGTCGAGATGTCACTGTTCGGTCCCTCGGCCCACACTCGCTCCGGGCGCCTCCCTCGAACGGCTGCAACCCCGGGTCTGCTGGCGGGTTTACGTGCTCGCTGCCGTTGCCCCACGCGGGTCCGGATGACGGAGAGCACGCCCGTCTTGCTCCCGCTGCGCCCCTGCGGTGGGCCGAGCGCCCGCACACGGGGGGTCGTGACCCCGCGGAACGCACGCACGCGTGTGACGGCGACGCCGCCCTGCCATGACGATGCGGGGGCATAGTGATGTCACCTCTGCGAGGGGGCTAGGTGTGAGGGTCGGGGATCGCTGCGCTCGTGGAGACCGCCTCTCCTCGGCACTCACCTAGGCCGCGGCCGGACCAGGACCGGGGTTCTCCTGGCAGCCGCGCACCTCGCCCCAGGGAGCGCCCTCTCCGCCGCCGCAGGCGTCCCCTGCTGCTCACTCCAGGGGCTGTCTTTGACACTGTAAGTTTTCTTAGGAAAGAAAAACCAAAAGGGCACCAGTTTCAAACTGCATAAATGCTGTCTGAGGGAACGTCGGACCGGCCGCCTCCAAATCCAGCTTCCACGGGAAGATGGAAAGGCTGCGGCGGGCAGTGAGAGAGGGCCCGGCCTGGCTCCGCCCCGCGTTGGCTGGGTGACTCTGGCCAGGTCACTCCGCCGCCTCGGACTTTTATCTGGCAGTAAAGGAGGCAGATAGAAATAAAAGGTGCCACAGTCAGTCACAGAATGTGAGACCAGGTCACCCTCTGAGGGTTAATCTACTAAAAAGAAATCAATAAGTAAAAAACTGAATCATAAAATATTACATGTTACCCTTTTGACAGCTAAAATTAAAAGACAGGTAATTTTTAGGACTCTGCATGGAACAAATAATATCAAATACTATTTTAAAAGCACAGCAAGACACTGACGGAAAGAGACTCAGAGTCGTGGTCCCGTCAGGTGGGGGGGGGGGTTGGGCACCGAGATGAGGGAAGACCAAGCGCTGGACACAGTTGTCAAGGCCCGAGCTGGTGTGTTGGTGGTGGGTTTTCAGGTGCTTGTTGTATTATTATAAGTAAATACGTGGATAAATAGGTAATCGATGATTGACAGAGAGATGCATGAATCACAAAGGTGTGTCGCTTCCAGGGATTATGACTTACCCAATTGTGGAAGCCTGAGGTCTATTTGAAAAAATCGAGGGTACATAAACATAGGACAAAGTTCTTTGACCTTATTTATGACCATCGAGAATATTCTGTCAACTGAGTTTCCTGGTGTTTTGATGCCAAGAAGATCAACTTACATAGCTAAGTCCTGAAACCCTGTCATCGCCTACATCCATGCCGAGATTCACGAGGCCACCAGAAGAGTTGGGGACCCAGTACATCCTCTTCCTGGTCATTTTCAATTGTCCTGATAATTCTTTGTTTCCCAGAAGCAGAGAATCTGAAAAGGCACAGGTAGGAGCAGTTTAGATCCAGCCTTAAGCAGCCAGGAGAGGGGACATCACCCTGAAGGCATTCAGGGCCATGCAGAGGGTTGCGGCATTGTCACAGCGTGGGCTATTCCCTACGCCTGGAATATGCTTGGTCTAAGATCACTTAGAGAAACCTTCTGTGACCATCCTCCCCAACCCCCCCATCTCCACCCCCTTGGGCCAGGCCAATCTCTTTGGATCTATCAAAGGCTTGCTTATGAAACCATCTTCTTGCCATATCCCAGTCTGTAACTGCACATATGTTCACTTTCTGCGCTACGCAGGGAACCTCACGAGGACAGGGATATGTCTGTTTTGCCCACTATTGAATCTCAGGGGCCTGGAGTGTGCTGGGAGGAGAGCAGGCTCTCAATGCCTAAATGAATGAGCAAAAGAAACATCACTTTTCCTTTCTTTGACTCTTGGTTTCCACAGACTCCAGAGGGAATCGTCACAATTTAGGAACCTTAAGTAATCAAGGTGGGGGTTTTTTGGGGGGAAAACAAGGAATATGCTTTTCATTTTTGCCTGTCTCAGTATGTGACTCACTCCCCGGTTGACCTAGAACATCCGTGTGCCCTAAGGTGGGAGGGGGGTGGTAATTAGGAATATTTCCAAAGAGATAGAAAGAGAACGAAAGTGTGTGGTAGTGCCAGTGTCCTGGGGGCACAGCCTGGGTGTCTCACTCAGAAGGGTCCCAGGTTTAGTTTAATGCTCTGCTATTGTCGTCCTGAAACTCTTAATGAATTTGAACAAGGAGCCCCACACTTTCATTTTGCACTGAGTCCAGCAAATTATGTAGTTTGTCCTGTTGTTCAGGTATAGTTTTTGACATTCAAATATTGGATTGTGCTTCAAGCAAATAGACCACAAACTAACCCATTATTTTCGGAGAAGATTCTCTAAATTTCTTTTCGCACCCCTTCCCATCCCACTTCCTTTTACCAAATCACAACTAAATTTGGTACACTCAGTTTCTGGAATTCTCCTGGAAACCAGTTACGATAGACTTCCCAGCCATGGCACCAGACCGTGAGGTTCACTTGCCATGTAGTGGTAGAATGTAGACCCTTTAGGAGTGGCAGAAAAGAGAAAAGAGAAAGAAAGAGGTGGATTAGGTAAGAGAGGGTGCCATATACTCTTTGTATAAGACTCTGGCAGGTATTACAAAACTTCCTGTACACACACACGCACACACACACACACACACACACACACAAAAAGACTCTGGGAGGAGGCCAGTTTTCTGGCTGCCAGAGGCACATCAACATGAAATTGGCATGATTCAACAGAATGAGGCCTTGGGGTTAGGGTCATAGTGTACTGCTGTACAGTTTATTCGCACACAGATCCTCAGTGAAGGGCATGGGTCATGGGCTGAAGGTGGCAAACTCCAGATGGCCAGTCCTGTACCCTGGCATGGGCAGCCTATAGTGGTGTGGTTGCAACTAGTGAATGAGTGTAGTGCCAACATACACATTCCTCTACATTTTACTCTATGTTAACGAGTAAGAAGAAAGCACAATACCAAACATGAATGTTGGCTGTAATTGGATCTTCACCCGTTTGTCAATGACCTGAGTAAATTTGCTGAATAATTTTTTAAATATTGAAAGAATTTTCCCTTATTTTTTTCACTATTCACAATGTAAAGGCTACAGGTACCACACACTTGTGAATTTAATCTGCATTATTAATATTTCCTACATTTCTTTCTTAAGCCTAGACAATCAACAAAATAATAAATCAAGCGCTGGTGTGTAGGCTTTGCTGATTTCTGTGGTGTAAATACTCCCATCACAGCTGATTTCCAGATTCCGTACCAACACAGCTGCACTGAATGCAGAATTGGGAAGAGAAGCACAATATGACATCATTATGTAGCATTTCTACCATCCAGGTATAATAGATGTATGTAACCTCAAAGGTATAAATAAAAGTAAAAGGTAGTAAAATAATTAGGAAATGATACATTTTGATATACTTTAACTATAAGTTTATATAATTTAATTTTATTAATGTTTGTATTTAAAAACTGGGCTCTCAAAGTTCCCAAAAATTTGAACCAGTGTTCTCCTGAGCCAGTCTGAACAGGCTCCCTCAGATCACTGCTGCATCCATCTTGAAAAAGTGGTGCCTTTTTCTAAATCCTCCTCCCTCTGGGGACATCCTTTTCCAATTTACTTATAAGGGCTCTATGGACTATTGCTGGCTGTGCCTAGGGGCTAGTTGGCTTTCCTGGCTCCCCTGTGGTATAGATGAGAACCAAAAGTTGCTAAAAGTCTGGGTAAGAAGCTTGCAAGAGGTAGCCTAGTGGACACAAGCTGCAAACAACTGGGAATCATGGATCTTGGAGGGGAGTACAGTGCTGACAGAGGCAGGATAGGTGGGGCCCAGAAACTCAAGGAACACCCCCAGGTGAGCGAGCTAAAAAGCATCACTTGAAGACCTACACAAGATCAGTTGGCTTCTAACTACAGTAGCACAGGCAGTGACGTGGATAAAAGATATCACCTGGGAAATCCTAGAGCAGAGGACACTGCCTAGGTCCCCAACTCTTCCTCTGACAGGTGACAACTCTGAAAATGAGCCTTTACTGAGTATTATTTAATGGAAGTATTTAAATTATTGGATCAAACAAGATCTTAAGATGGTAAGCCTAGGCTGGGCGCAGTGGCTCACGCCTGTAATCCCAGCACTCTGGGAGGCCAAGGCGGGCGGATTGTTTGAGCTCAGGAGTTCGAAACCAGCCTGAGCAAGAGCGAGACCCCGTCTCTACTATAAACAGAAAGAAATTAATCGGACAACTAAAAATATATAGAAAAAATTAGCCAGCCATGGTGGCACATGCCTGTAGTCCCAGCTACTTGGAGGCTGAGGCAGAAGGATCGCTTGAGCCCAGGAGTGTGAGGTTGCTGTGAGCTAGGATGACGCTGCGGCACTCTAGCCCGGGCAACACAGTAAGACTCTGTCTCAAAAGAATAAAATAAAATGGTAAGCCTAAACATTTATTTTCCCCCCATTAACCAGCAAGTGGAGGATCGTGAGTAAAAGCAGATTCTTAGAGACCAACTAAAGAAATTAGATTTTATCTCACCTTTCAGATATAATATGATATGCCAACCTGGTGTATTCATATATACCTGCGAAAAGATGCAACCGGGATTTCCTAAGTGTGACTCTTTCCTATATGGATTTTGTCCAGGAAACTAACAACAGGGAAAACCAAACCAAATGAAAATTAAGAAAATGCAAACGTGTAATGGATGTTTGCAGAACACGAATTGCACATCCCAGTGAAACTGGAGCTGAGCCACACGTTAGTCTGGGCCTCCGTCCAGTCCAACAAGGCCCACCTCCACTTTTGGACTGGCAGGGGGAATTCCCTCCAGAGCTTCCTTTGGCAGTCTCTGAAAATTTCCCTGGCCTCCCAGCTTCCTCTCAGGAAGAAGTTGGAGCTGAAGTTATTCACTCTAATAGGTGGCAACACCATCACCATGGTCAGGGTAGGGACCAGGACATGACTGGGAATAAAACAGAGAGGAAACAGATGCTTCCAGCCCTGTGTTCTCCCCTTTCCCAGAAGCAAAGCTCATGATTGCAAACTTGGTTTAGACATGGGCCATTTACATACGGGACAGGAGGGCAGTGGCTGGAGCAAGGTAACCTGAGACAACAGCCTTCAGGAAGAGCTGATTTATTTCCTCATTGTTCTCTCCACTCACCCAGCAGGGTCTAGTGTTCAAGATCAGAAAGTGCATGGGGGGCGGGAGGTGAGGAAGTGCCTAGGGCAAGGGGCAGAAGCACCTGCAACCCAGGCCCTAAAGGAGTTCTAGTGATCTGGCCTTGCTCTTCCTGCACCTCAGCCTGTGCTATTTAGCTTTCCCTACTCTTCGGTTTATTTCCTTCTGTGAGCCCCCACAGCTTCAGCAGGCCATCTTGCAGATGGCTGAATCCCCACATCCCAGCGCCTGGCCTTTTCCTCTGTTCCAGAAGCCGGGACAATCCTCCCCACCTTGATCTTTGCACTAGCCCTAATCTCTGCCAAGAATATTCTCCCTCGAGCTCCTCTCGGAGCTGATCCATTCTTGTCATTCAGGTCTCAGCTCAAACACCGTCTCCACAGAGCAACCTTCCCAGACCTCCCTGCCTAACGTCCTCATCCTCTCCCGAGCACCTTTTACAGATTTTCCTATTTCCTTTACTTATCACTTTCTGAAATTGCCATTTATTTCTTTGTTGGCTTATTTATTTTCTGCCTACCTCATTAGAATGTAAGCTCTTTGGGACAGGCCTGGTGGCTCATGCCTGTAATCCCAGCCAGCACTTTGGGAGGCGGAGGTGGGAAGATCATTTGAGTCCAGGAGTTTGAGACCAGCCTAGACAACATAGTGAGACCCCCATCTCTACAAAAAATTTAAAAATTAGCTGAGTGTGGTGCATGCCTGTAGTCTCAGCTACTTGGGAGGCTGAGGCTGAGGCTGATCACTTGAGCCCAGGAGTTCAAGGCTGCAGTGAGCTATGATCACACCACTTCTCTCCAGCCTGGGCCACAGAGCAAGACTCTGTGTCAAAACAGACACACTAAAAACCAGGGACCTTGTCTGCCTTGTTCACTGATGTATCCTTGGATCTAGAAGAGTGCTCAGCACATAGTATATGCTTAATAAATATTTAATGGAAAATAAATGAAGAACATGCACAGCCTGTCAAAAAGGAGCCAGGAAAGCCACAGAGTCATAAAAGGCTTCACATTTAGATTCTTGATGGCCTCCCAAGGAGACCGACACAGTCCATCACAGACATACAGTGACAGGATTGAAAGACGTTCATCAAGCAAGCATGTTAAACCTGGGCCTATTCCCACACCATACCTTCCATAGTGCAGCATGAATTTGTATTTTAAAAAATACATACAGTAATTATTGTGTGAGCAGAATACTTACACAGCATTGTTTAATGTTGTTGGGGCATGTGTGTATATTAAAAGCATTAAACATTTTGAAACACTTAAGTGTTTTAAAAATATACCACAAAGTTTGTAAGATGGTTTTATAAATTCTTTGTTAAAACACTGGGAGCCTGAAAGAATGCGGCCCCCGCCTCCTTACCCTTGGAGAGACCCTTGACGAAAGGTAAGTGATTGTGGACGTGGGCAACGCATATTTGATCTCCGTATCTCCCCCAGAGTTGAGCACAGGATAGGGGACGTAGTACACATCCAGGGAAATGACCCTGAGCCTGCTGATTACACCCAAGATCTTCAGCTACCAGCTCAACTTCTCTCTAGGCTCTAGTGGCTCAGGCCTCAACCCAGAATAATCCTTGACAACTGTTTTTCCTTCGATCTTCGTGTCCAATCCATCGGCAGTTCTGTTGAAACTACAATCAAACATAGCTTGACTCCACCTGCTCCTAGTCTAAGTCATCATCACTTCTCGCCTGGACAACTGCAACTATCTCTTTCTGACCGCCCTGCTTCTGATCTTACATCCTTACATTCCACTTTCCTCGTGGCAGCCAAAATGAACTTTTGAAAACATAAGCCAGATAATCACCTTGAAATCTCCAATGGCTTCCATCAGGCTTTGCGTAAGCTCTAAACTCCTTACCAGAGCCCACGTAGCCCTCTACATTCTGACCCTGCCCCCTTCCTATTGCAATGGTCAAATCTGAAACAATATATTATTGGATAATAACCCATAAAAATAAATATTCACAAGTCTATACTAACATCAATAAGTAAGTAAACAAGTGGGGGAGATCGGGTAGCTTTTTCTCACAGAATTCCAAGCAATAAATATAGAATTATCTCCTCACAAGATGCTTAAAATTACAAAAAGAAAAATAATTTACAGTGAAGAAACCGCGGTGGCTCAATCCTGTAATCCTAGCACTCTGGGAGGCCAAGGCACGAGGATCGCTTGAGCTCGGGAGTTCATGACCAGCCAGAGCAAGAGTGAGACCCCTCTCTACTAAAAATAGAAAAATTAGCTGGTCATCCTGGTAAGCCTGTAGTCCTAGCTACGCGGGAGGCTGAGGCAGGAGGATCGCTTGAGCCCAGGAGTTGGAGGCTACAGTAAGCTACGACAGTGCCACAGCACTTTACCCAGGGCGACAGAGAGAGATTCTGTCTCAAAAAAAAAAAAGAAAAAAGAAACCTGGTAGACATCACCTTCACCAAGATTAAAGTCATCATTAATGAGACATTGCACCATCATGTATCACAACAAGGTTACAACACTATTTCTATGGTATTTGGCCCCCAAACTGCATACCATTGATTTAATCATGAGAAACACGAGATAAATCCAAATTAAAGGACCTTCTACAAAACAACTGACCGATATCCTTTAAAAGTATCAAGGTTTTAAGAAACAAAAACAAAGGATTGAGGAATTGTCACAGATTGGAGGAGACCTAGGAGATATCGTGACAAAATAAAGAGTGGGGTCCTGGGTTGGATCCTGGACCAGGTCCAATTAAGGACATTAGTGAAAAAACTGGCAAAATTTGGGTAAGGTCTATGGAAGTGATAATAGTAATGTCGATTTCCTGGTTTGGGTACGTGAAGTCTGATTAGGTAAAATGGTATCGGGGAAGCAGGGTGAAAGGTATATGGGAACTCTTTGTTATGTTTTTGCAACATTTTTGTAAATCTAAAATCAATGCGAATAACAAGTTAAAGACATTTCAAGTATATAAAATTCAAACCCAAACATCCATCCTAACGCCCTCTGCAAGTGAGCCTAACCGAGGCGCAGCTGACAGCGGGCTTCTGTGCGCCTCTTTTCGCGTATCTACGACTCGGAGCGACGCGGGCGGCTCCCGGAGCAGCGCGAAGCTGCGGCGTTTGAGCCTGGGGGCGGACCGTAGCGCGGGCCGGAAGCGGCGGGGCGGGCGGCCGTGAGGTGTGCTGGCGGTCGGTAGCCGAGGCCGTGCGCTGCTGTCTGTCCGCTCCTTTCCACAGCCCCCAGCGCGAACAGGCGTCGCCATGTCGTCGGTGAGCCCCATCCAGATCCCCAGCCGCCTGCCGCTGCTGCTCACCCACGAGGGCGTCCTGCTGCCCGGCTCCACCATGCGCACCAGCGTGGACTCGGCCCGCAACCTGCAGCTGGTGCGGAACCGCCTGCTCAAGGGCACGTCGCTGCAGAGCACCATCCTGGGCGTCATCCCCAACACGCCCGACCCGGCCAGTGACACGCAGGACCTGCCGCCGCTGCACAGGTAGGCCCGGAGCCCCGCGGCGGCGGCGGGCGGCCTCCTGCGGCTCCGGCCCAGGCCGGGCCGGCCTCTGAGCGCGGAGGTTCGGTTCGGGGCAACCTTTGCGGCTCAGTTCTGCCTCTTAAGTCTCCTCACATGAAAAATGGGGGTGACAGATAACTACCCGGCGATCCCTAGCGAGGTAATTCATGAAGCAGTTCGTGGCACCTGGTGAAATCTCTGTGCAGTTACCTGCCGCTGCTGAGGATACGACTGATTCTCCTGCCCACCCCCACCCCGCCCTTGGTCTTCGGTCTCCTGGGCCAGTGCGCTTAACTTTCCAGGCCCTTCCTTTCTCCCTGGAGAATTTCTGCCTTCTCTTTCCTTGCCTTTACTCTTTCTCCCTCCCCCCTATTCCCCGCGCCCCTTTTCTACCTCCCTCCTATCATTTTCGTTCTCTGAGACACTCTACTTAATACCTTTTCTCTTTTTCCTGTCCGGTTCCTAAACTGCACCGCCCCTCCCGTTAACTTTTGGGTGCCTTCTACACTCCTTGCCACCTTTTTCCTTCTTCTCCTAGTACCTGTTTCCCTTCCTAAAAGTGTCATTCCAGCTCCCATTTTTCCCTTGTCTTCTTTTCTGGAACTTTCCTAATCTCTCACCTCTGCTCCCTATTTCATATCTCAGCATTTCTCTTCTTAGGCCCCAGGCTTACCACTAGATTGCCCTAGTTGTGTGACTTTGGATTGAGAGGCTTGGTGTGTATCTGTTTCTTTCTTCATCTGTAATTTGGAAACTGACAGCATGCATCTCTTAGGTGTGTTATGAAGCTTAAATAATGTGTATAATCTGCTTTACACCCTGCTTGATGGATGGTCGTGCTGTCCAGTGCTGTCCAGTGCATGTGGCTACAGAGCACTTGAAATGTGGCTCATCCAAATTGAGCTGTTAGAGTGACTAGTTGTCCTGGTTTGCCAGGACTGCCCTAGCTTTGGCATTCAAAGTCCTATGTCCCAGAAAGCCTTTCATCCCAGGCAAACCAGGGTGATCTGTCACCCTAAATATGCTATCAAGTGTGCAAATGCACAAGAGTTTGGAAAAGCTTAATATGAAAAATGTTTTGTTGATTATTAAATTTTATCTAGATTAAATTATCGGAATGGTAATATTTTGACCACTTGAGATTAAATAAAACATTAATACTAAGATTTCACCTGTTTTTACTTTATACTGTGGCCACTAAAATTATAGATATGGCTTACATTATATTTTTATTGGACAATGCTGATATTCTGTCAACAAATATTATCTTCAAACCCACCTCCCAAGCCACTGCCTCCTATCCTTAACTCTGCTCAAAGTGTTTTTCCAATTTAGAGTTGGTCCTTCCCCTGCGGTTATCCCTCATTGTTAAATTAGGTTTTCCTGACTCTGGATGTCATGAGTATTAGAAATGCCTCATTTTTACTCAAAGTCTTGTGACTATGCACATTTTTTTAGCACAGTTTGTAGCTTCAGATCCTCAAAGGAGACTGGTACTTCTCTTCTCCCCTCCTTTAAAAAAAACAAACAACAAAACCCATAACAGCCCAATGTTAGTTCACATTGTAAAAGCCTTGCTTTT